CAAGCCTGCAAAGGCAGCTGGGGTCTGACTGCACTGAAAATTGCTTGCTTTTTGCACCTCTCTCACCTGGGTCCAAAATCTGGCGAGGATGAGCTGTGTTCAGGTTTTCACACTCGGGTCTAGCCTAAAGTTTGATTCTAGCTATCTGGCATGTATTTAAATCCCCCCCCCGCGTAGTCTTAAGCACAGTCGACACAGTAGGCAGCGCGGGCTTGTGATCCCCCTCCTCTTGTGCGTGTGTGCTGTGTGCCAGGAGGTGGACATGATACGGGCCTCCTACGGGAAGGAGCTGGAGAGACTCCGGCAGAGCCTGGTGCAGCAGGGCCAGAGGCTGGAGGCCGCCCAGTACCGCATCGGGGAGCTCGAGTCCCAGCTCACCAAGAAGGAGCACCTCATCGTGGAGCAGAAGAAATTCCTGGAGGACGTCAAGAGCCAGGCCAAGTAGGGGCACAGCCCGCACCGAGAGCGGTCTTCTTGTCACTCTAAAGACGTTGGTGCAGTGGCGTCCTACCGAAAATGCTTTGATACCCATAGGGCTGGGAATTTAGAGTAACGGTGTTAAACATCTCCTTGCCTGGAGCAGTCGTACTCCTGGTGACCCACACGCCTGCTGGTCTTCATTCCAGTCCCACCTTCGTTGGATAACTGAAGCCTTACTTGATCGAAGAAGTTGCTTGAATTGAATTTTTGCGTTTTGTTCCTAGTTGCAGGTTTGGGATTTTTTTTTTTACATTTTAAAGAATGCAAAGGTTAAAGCTCCAACACGCTGAAGAGCTGGGAGCAAACAGTCTAAACGAGTGTGATTGTTATAGTGAGGGGCTCGACAGCAGGTGTGTGTAAGTCACCAGGGCCGGGGCTGGGACCCACTGCTCTAGAATGAGGGCTGTCGTGCGCACTTGTGAAGTGTATAGGGTGTAATGTAATAAAAAGCAAAGTTTATTGTAGCTTCATTGGATTTTGGCAGCAAAACTGTATTCCTGTACGATAATAAGTAAGTAATAAGTTATTCCATGCTGAAAAGAAAGAAAATGCAACGTTTCGGCTGTGGAACCTTCTTTGGGTGTCCTGTATGATAGCCTGAACTTATGGTGAGGGATATGGAATAGTTAGTAAACCTATTTATAACACCGTTAGTCACCAATTAGTAGTTAAAATGCGTTGACCTGACGTGTGACTGATGTTTGCAAGGGCTGAGCTGAGTTGCCTGGTGTGTGTGCAGGGGGGAGCTGCAGGCGTCCCAGAGCAGGTACCAGGCCCAGCGGCAGGTCACGCAGGCGCTGCAGACGGAGCTGCTCGAGCTGTACAGCCGCCTGGAGAAGGAGGACGCTGTCGCGGGTGCCGGTGCAGCAGCGGCGGCAGCAGGGGGCGCCACTGAGCCGTGCAAGCCCACCGACTCCAGGTAGGGGGGCCGCTGGAAACGCAAACGCTGGAGCACCTTTCGCTGCCGAGCGCCAGAGCACTTCGCAGACCGGGGCTCGAGCTACGCTTCGGGGCCCAATTCACCCTGGCCACGATCTGCTTTCACACCTGGGTTCTGGTAGGAGGTATCGCAGTGTCGGAGCACTGACCAGTAGATTCAGAAACAGTTTCTTCCCCCAAGCAGTCCGCATCTGCAGCTCAAATTAGCACCTGCACTTTAAGGTACTGCACTATTTGCACTTTGTCCTGTCTTGGCTGTATTATAATGTCTAGTATCTAAATTAATTGAATAGTCAAGACCTGGAGTTTCAGTGTGAAAGCTTTGCAATGTCTTAACGGTAGCTGGTTACTTTAAGGCAGTACTTTCTGGTGCACCGTGGCACAAATGTAGCAGAGTACACAGCTCTGACACCACATCTTGACTTGTGCTTCTGGTACTTTTAGTGCCAGAATGGACATTTCACCCTTATTTTCTAAAGGCATAATAAACAAACAACAGGAAATGCAAATCTGGCAAATAACACCATTGACAGTTGAAAGGAAATCAGTATTTTACGTCCAGTTTTATGTCCAGTTTTCCTTGTGATTTTCCTACTGATATGTTTGTTGAGTCTAAAGACGCTGTGCAGAAGAACCGAGCGTTGAAGTCGGCGTGACGCTGCGTGCTCCGTGTCGAGTCCTTGTTCGCGCTGTAAAGGAGAGATTGGCACACACTGCTCTGCTTTAGGCCAAAATCGCTGTCGCCCGTAGCAAAGCGGAAACGTGCCCTGCATGTGTCGGATTGGGCAGCACGGTGGCGCGGTAGCGGACATTGATTTGCGTGCTGACGCCCGTGCTTCCTTGTTTCCTGTCGTAGGACGGACGGCGCCAGCTCGGGGTCACCAAGGCAGGCGGCCCCCCGTGACCGTACGGGCAGCCAGACTGACTGCCCAAAGGGCAACGGCAGCACTTTATCGCCCGGCCAGCCCCCGCCTTCCCTGCCGGCAGGGCACGGCGGCTCCGTGAACGGCAGCCGTGACCCCCCCCTGGTCCTGCTGGAGCCCCCGCCCGCGCCCGGCCACGCCCCGCTCACGGTGGGCTCCTACCCCACCGCCAAGAGCTTCCTGGGCATGCGGGCCCGCGAGCTGTTCCGCAACAAGAGCGAGAGCCAGTGCGACGAGGAGCCCCCCCGCCTGGCGGGCCTGTCCCAGGCGCTCAAGACTGAGCAGTGCGTGGAGCCCGCGGGCGCCGCGCCCCCCCCCGAGCCGCCCCGCCCGCCGGAGGGCAGCGGCGCGCAGCAGAGGCAGCAGCAGCTGCGGATCATGGACTATAACGAAGCGCATCATGAGCACAGCTAAGGAGCTCGGGAGGAGAGAGGAAACAAAAAAAGCAAAGCCCAGTGTTATTATTCTCATTCCTCGAGTGGACAGCAGGATTTGAGCCTCCACTTCAGATTGATTTCCTCGGCTCCTCTCGTTTTGTTGTTTCCCCTACAGCCGCTCGCCAGTCCGCTTGCTGCACTTTGCCCTCCTCCTCGGCGAGGTGGCCAATCTGAGGTCAGGGCTGCCGGGGGGCGGGGGATTGTGGGGCTGGGTTTCTTCTTCGTTTTTTTTTTTTAAAAGACGGCTTCTCAGTCCAGCGTCGAGGGTAAGGGCGCAGGGCAGCTGCCGGTCAAGGTGAGAAGGAACTCTGCACGTTTGGCTGTCGTTTAAAAAAAAGTATTATAAGCGAGGAAGAAAAAAAGTCAATCCTTGGACAGAGGCGTCCAGCGATGAAATGTTTCAACGTTCTGGGCGCTGGAGCAGTGTGCCGCGAGCCTGTTGATCTCTTGGGCGACGGCAAGCAAGACCAGATCTGGGCTGCGTGTTTTTCAAGATGCCTACTTCCAGGCTTGCAGCAGGGTTTGACTGCAGTTTCCTCCAGCCAGCCAGGTGCGGTGACAGCTGTCGGGGTGACTGCAGGGTCCCTGCTCCCCCTCGGTCCCGGAGCTCGTGCCGCTCTGTCGGTCCGGGGCTGGTTCCTTCCCGGAAGACCCAGGAGGGGGAGTGGAGATCCGGTAGTTTGGCGGTTTGTAAAGTTATAATTACGCGAATCCACAGTGGCACCAGGTGATGTGGTCAAGTAAAGCAAAATTTCGAAGCTCCCGAAACCAAGCGGAAGTTATGTTTTTTTTTTCCTTATTCTGCCTCGCTTTATCTGCATATTTTAACATGAACGTTAGTTTTTCCCCTACCTTCTTTATGGGTTAATCTTTCACCTCATCATTCATACTTCATTCTAGTCTGACCATACAGTCAGGCTGATGTATAACCCGGTATTCCAGTCGAATAAAATGTGGCTTGGCTCTTTTTTTAAGCAGGTTTTAAGGTTAACCAGGTAGAATACATTATGGATGGACCCGAGTTGGCAGGACCGGGAATAACAAAAGGACCAATATTTTTATAAATATTGGTAAGAGCATCTATTGAACTTGGCGGCACGACCTTTTAACATGGACTGAAGGCTGTACCTAGAATAGCATAACATTTTTGGTCATTTTTCAAAATATTCTGCTCTTATTCTTTCAGTGCTACTTTACTAACGCGCATCACCTTAAGAGTTCATTTCAAATGTGAATTTAAAATGAAATTTTGTGTAAAGTTTGTCTCCACGTCTTCAACACGACGAAAGTTATGCATGTTCTTTTTTTTTAAATTGCGCAATTTAATGAAGATTATGGAATAACCAGAAAAATCAGTTTAAACTCGTATACTAATGAAATTTATTAATTTATTCACAAGTTTTAATTATCAGGTGTTCTCCTATGAGGGGGGGAATTTTTAAAATAATGACCCCCCCCTCTGTTCAAATCCTAGAAAACAAACTAGAAATGTTGATATTACAGTTATTTGATTCATTACTTAGAAGGAATCTCTTCCTCTTTACACTTCAGCCTGCACTTAACTGACCATTGTAAGCCATTTCCACAGACACCTCACTGGTCAAATCTCCCGTTGTTACTTAATTATGGTTTTAAATCCAGTGGGAAAGATCTAGCAGTTTTTCCAGATTTCTTATGATGCGACCATTATAGATGGAAATGCCCACAAAGTTTTAGCGGGATTAGGGATGTACTGGGGTTTTTTTTCTGGATCTGTTCCAAGGAAATATGGTTTTATTTTGTTAACCTGTGCCGTGAGTCTTGGAATTTATAAGCTAATAAGTACAGATGCACCTGTCACTGTTTGTATGCACTTTTGGATGGACATGAGGAGGGTGAACTACAACTACGATCTTGATGGTCACTAAAAAGCTAAATGAGCATAAACGGTAGCCATTCAGCAGTACTCTTGCTCGTAGGATGCTGCTGTCTTTCACCTGGGAGTTCTTCTGGGTGCAACAACTTTAACACTACCCTTTTTAACTTTACATATGGCATATGGCCCTGGGCCATCTCCACTGTGAAACTTCACCAGTACCATCTCCATACCCCACAGCTTCGGCATCTGTAGGAAAAATGTTGTTTCGTACTTTTCCGTCACGTTGAGCCAGTGTCGATTTGCCACAAGACCTTGATATTTGGGATTCAATGTCAAGCGTCGAATCTTTTGAGACCCTTTTTATGTTCTGACGGCAGGGTTTTCTACGGTGCCACTGTAACCTGAGTGTGCAGCTGGTATAAGAAGGAAGAGGTGCCTTTTCTGCTGTGTCAGCGTTTTAAAACACTCCCAGAAGGAGTGTTGTAGAGAAGGAAAGGCCAAAGTTACATTCGGGATGATGATGATAAAATCGTACTTGGTTATACTGTGGAAAAACAAAGGTTTTAGGCCTGGTGCCACTGTCTGCAGCCCCTACCTGATAAACTTGGCCATTCCCTGCAGTTAGTATCTGGTTGCAAGACAGTGCTACACTGGGACTGAACATTAGGGTGGTAATATTTAGCAATTGCTGGGAACAAAAATCTGTTTGGAAATAGAAAAAAATGTTTTTGTTCCACTTGATTTTTTTTTTTTAACTGAAAAAGCTCTAGCTTAGAAGTTTCTGTGGTAAGTCCAAAACCGTTCGGAAGCTGTCATTGTTTTCTTTCTCTCTGATACTGGATCTGGAAGTGTTAAAGGATGGTATTCATGTCTGATGCTATTTGGAGAAGCAGTTATGTGTTACATAATCGGTGAATACTGTTGTTCTTTAATACAAATCCTGTTGTCCGCTGAACGTTTCTGCTGTTATCCAGTCTGCCTTGCTATCCTAAGCATGTACAACAATCCACTTTAAATGCCAATAATAGGAAATACGACGTACAAAGAGACTCTATAGTATGGTACAATCTGAGCGAGACTGAAAGGGTGGAATCAAGAGGGACTTCTTTTTGAAAAGAATGTTGTGAAAACGGAAAAAGTACTTAAAAGCAGTTGCTCGTGTTTAACTGTGAACAAAAAAATGAATAAAAATAAACTTGTCTTCAATGTTTTGCACTACAGATTTCAGAGCTTGTTTTCCATTATTTTTCTTACATGACCTTATTTCATTCACAGCATTGTCTTTCTGCCCTTGTTTGAAGCATGTTTAATATACAGGTTTCCAAAAGCACTGTCTGGGTTAACAAAATTGTGTTTCGAGAGGCTTTGACATTGTCATTTTCTGGTTGTTGCTTGCAGCTGCTGTTGTACAGGTGAGTATGGTTTTATTTTGAACTTAAAAGGACGTGGAATGTGCTGAGCTTTTTACTCCATTGTGTTTTATATCTGTATAATTGATGCACAGGACTTGGCAACCTAGATTCTTTATGTCTAAGAGTTTTTTTTATTGATGTTGAATGCAACTTGATTGTGTTCCAGTGAAAAATGTTGTAGGATTTAGATGGATTCCAGGAATGCGTCAGCACAACAGTATACAGTCAATGTTTTATTTTTTCTCTTTATTGGATTTTGAATAATATGAACATGTGATGATTCAAAATGCTTCAGTTTTAATCTTGCCAAAATTCTTCATAGCTGCATCATGTGAGACATACAACAGCATGCATTTTAGACGTCAGTAGGTTTTGCATGGTAGGAATTTTAAATATATAAGGTGATGTGTTGCCTGATAGCATTTCTTGATGGAGCAAAGGCTCAGAAAACTATCTTCTTTCTGTTTTTGAACTGTGAGAAGTGCATTAATACCATCGACAAAGTGGCAGCTGGCAAAGTGGAGTCAGATTCTTGCCAAAATTAGTGCAGCATCCAATAGCAAATTGTGCGTTTAACCTCGTTTTCACCAGTTTAATTACTAGAAGAGTATGATCAAGATAATGTGCCAAACTCTGTCAAGATACAGTTGTTGGGGAAAAATCGCAGGGTTCTTCTAATCTAATTCTCGCCTCCCCTGATCAGCTCTGCCGTATGGCTATATTGATCATGAGGTGTTGCAAACCTACCCCTGTGTAGTAAAGTCCACTCAGATTCCTAAGAAACCAAAAAAGAGAGAGGAGTAACAATTTGGGCTTAATTAACATCTTTTTCTTTTAACTCTTGCGCTTGTCTAATCAAAAATCTGGAGAGAGATGCTCTTTGGCGTGCTTGAACGGGTGCATTTTTACTTTTCACAGAGCAGAGAAGGAATCGGCTGGAGTGGCAACACTGTCGCGGGTGGGGGGGGGGGGAGAAAGATCAGAATTTACTGGTGTGGCCGGGAGGTCTCCAGGCTGGCTTGCCGGTGTGCCAGCCCCCCTGTCCTTTGGTGGGGGAGTAGTGGAGCTGCTCCATGGCGTTGCCGGCCCGCTTGGTCTGAGTGCCCACGGCCGTGATGGCAGGGCTCTCCTTGGCGCTGCTGCTCTGCTGCTCTGTGCCGGGCTGCGCGCCCTGGAGGGACGGCGGCCCGGTCCTCTTCGGGGCCTTGTGAGCTGGGCCGGCACCGGACACGCACTGCCAGGCCAGGTCCGTGGCCATCGGGATCAGGCTCACCACTCCTCCGTAGTAATTCCTGGCCTCGTCGCAGCTCAGGTGGTTCACCTCATCGTGGGGGTACCTGGGAGAGGTCACAGAGAGGTCATTCCTCCCCCATGCACACCCCGCGTGGTGTTGGACCTCGGCGAGATTCCTGTTTGTGATCAGCACGAGCGGCAGCCTCTCGAGGCGGTTTTTTTTTTCCGTCAGACCCTCTTCGTTTTAAGGTTACGATGAGGGTAACGTGCGGGAGTGGGTGGTGAAAGGGTCTTCTGAACAGCGCGTGTGTGAGCAGATGGCAAATTTAAAAAGAGGTTTAAAGTGGAACTGCAGTTTCCCAGTTTCTCAGACCAGTTATTCAATTTTGGTAACAAAAGAAATTCATTGGTCGCTACAGAAAAATATTAGAAATTTCGAATTAAAGCGCAAGATCGTGAATGACGTGGAAGTGGCCATGCTGTCACAAACCTCGGGTCTCGCCATGGGCAAGAGCAAGAGTTCGCGTGAATTGCAGCGTGATGCGGCCCTTCCTGCTCAGTAGTCGCTGTAATGATTAATGCAAGGTGACGTTCAAGCAAGTAAACACAGGTTGTGCAGCAGACATTTCACCACAGAAATGTTCCAGCCTTGTTAAATGTTCCAGTTAACACGCAGTATTTGTTGGCAAAACTGTCTCGAAGTCGAGAACAACATCTCTACTGGATTAAAGGAGATGTCTTCACAAGCCTGCTGGTGCAAAATGTAATAGGGCCGCATCACATTGCCAGAAGTGACCTCGTTCTGAATCGCAGGACATGGTGCTGTGCACACCTGGAACTCGTGTCTAGTTTGTGATGTAAATTGGCGGTTTTACAAGTTACTGTGCACATTTTACTTTTATTGTGGTTTGAAATGCCCTCAATCAGTGCTGATTCTTTCTAACCCCGAAATAAAAAGGTAGCCTTGCAGTTTCAGTTTAAAGGAGGAAGTATAGATGGAGATTGAACTTTGTCACTGTTCTTAAACTTCAGCTTCTTTCTTGTTTTTTTTTGTTTTGTTTTGGTTGGGAGTTATCCAAAAGTGAAATGTTGTGTCTTCACAGGTTTTAGATGGTAGGGGGGGGCACCAGGAGAACTCACTTGGCCCGCAGTGCGCTGAGGTCGCTCGTGGGGCAGAGCAAGGCCTTGCAGGCCTCCAGGCTCTCGTCGGGAGGCCTGTTCTCAGGCGCCAGGCCCTCCAGGAGCTGCGCCGCGCCGCGCAGGTCTGCCACGATCTCCAGGAAGAGGGAGAGGATGCGACGGTCGGTGGCGTTATTACAGTGATTGTCCAGATAGCGCTGAACCTGTACACCAGGCACAAGTCAAGTTGTTAGCTGCTGCACAATAGAAATGGGAGCATCTGCTATCCGGTGAGCTCCCACAGACGTAGTGTTTGAAATTGTTAAAAGAAGGAGCAGTTAGAAACAATTATGACAAAAGGTCTACCTTGGAATGATTCTACTTGATCTCATTTCTTAATTCTTTGTCTTGCCGATTCTAGTTACAGAACACCCTTCATTTCTGAGCCAGAGCTTTTTGACTTGCAGCCTCGACAGCCTTCAGTTTACTGAATTCTCAAAGGGATTTAACTACGTAGGCGAATTCATATTATTGCTTCCAATAGAAGACAACTTTTACTGGTTATAAATCGGGTGGCAGCATATTATACAATCATTTGCAACAGAAATTAAAATGTTTCCTACAGGGCTACAGTTTCTCAAACTAGCATGAACATTGTAAAGTTTATTTATGCCCCCAAAAGTTGTGTAGGGCTACCCAACAGCAATGCATTTTGCAAATATATTTCTCCACAGTACATGCATCTTTAATAAGGTTTGCTCGTTTCTGACATCTTAGCCTCTAATAGCCAGTGATAGAGAGGCTACAGATTGTTCCAAACTGTTCATAGAAACAGAATATAAACAATTGTTCAAGAATTCCAACAAATGAAAGACATTTTTGAACAAATGCAGAATCTGTAAATAGGTAGTCTGCAGCTCTGCTCTTGGGAGGTCGCACTGTCTGCTGGGTTTCATAATTCAATGTCAACCTGACCCTCCAGATCATTGCCCCTTGACCATTAGCAATGGGGGCTGAGCCACTAGCTTTAGTATATGGCTGTCTAGGAATAGAGCAGCTCATCCCAGCCAAAAACATCCTTAAGGCACAGATCTGTTGAATTTGGGGACAGACCAAAAATGGGGTGTTTTGGGCTGCAGGGTAATGGGTTTTGGTGAAAGTGTTAAGTTAAAAGGTTTTAGATTGAAGCGGTTTGGTTTAAAAGATGACAGAGGTGAAGGGTTTAAGGGGTAGAAGATTTTGGTTTAAAGGGTTTAGGGGTTTGTATGAAGGGGTGATAGGGCTTGAATTGAAGGGGGAAGGTATGAAGGTTTGGGTTAATAGGTTAAAGGGCTGTTAGGGGTGATGGGGTTTTTACTGCTCCTGCGGTGCGTGACTAAGCCCCCAGAGACGGAGCGATGTCGCTGCGGGGCCCCGGGGGCCCGAGCGCCTGCCTGTGCGATGGAGGACACGGGCTGGGTCCTCTCGCGGGCGTGCTCCCGCGTCCTCCCCAGCGCCGCCACGAAGGTCAGCTGCTGCTGCCGGAAGCGCCGGCGCTTCTGCTCGATCGCTCGCAGGGTCTCCCGCGCCGCGCTCATCCTGGCCCGCCCGCGCGCAGGCCTGCGGGCAGAGAGGAGCCGTCCCTCAGCGGCGTGGGGAAGGGCTTTCCCAGCTCCCCGGGCTGGAAGCACTAGGAATAATCCCTTACATTTCTACGGCACGTCTCTGGACTCTCCACTCCAAGCGCTTTACAGGTCATGGGGATCCCCTCCACCCCCACCTGGATGAGGCACCAGTCCGCTCCCCACACACCAGCTCTCAGTGGGGAGGGGAGCAGAGTAGTGAAGCCAGTTCAGAGTTTGGGATTAGCAGTAGGCTAGAATTGGTAAGGGCCAGAGATTAATAATACACTGCGAAATATAGGCAAAAAGACAAATATGCTAACTAGTAACAACTTCGTTTCCCAAACAACTGAACATAAGAGCAGTTACAAGTGAGAGTTGGCCCCTCTATCCTGATTTGTACTTGGCAGCTAATTATGCATCTCATCCGCATTGTTTCTCGATTTGGCTTCGATGGGAGGGTTGGGTGACTTGTTCCAGACTCCCACAACTCTTTGTGTACAGAAGGGCCTCCTGTTCTCGTTTTTAAGCGCACTTCAACGTGGACTCCTCTGGTGCCTTCTCGTTCGTATTTCATGTGTGACTGGGTTGGATTTGCCATTTCTTTTGTAGACTCTGAATACTTGTATCAGGTCTCCTCGGTGCCTTCTGTAAGGCTAGAAGGGCTCAGTTTTCACTCTCCGAGTGTGGGACAGTCTCTCAAGCCTCAGAATGGAGCTAGACGCTGCTCTTCAGCCTGCATCCAGAGCCACAACATGTTCTTTAAAAGGTGGAGACCAAACCTGCACAAAAACGTACCGACAGCGATATGCGATTTTAACAGAGCCTCCTTTTCTGTAAGCCTTCGTTTGAATCGGATTGCATTTTCACATCTCCGTCCAGGTTGGCTGCGATGAAATTCACACTCAAGGCAAACCAGTAGGGAGAAGCGCCTTTTAAAAGCAAATTTCGGTTTATCTTAAACACCAAAACCACGGTGAGTGTGGAAGCAGGGAGAGCCATCGAATCAAACTAACCCAGTCTCACCCAGGGGCGATGTCGGCTGATATATAAAATATTTTAATACTAAGTTACTGCTTCTGTCACGTCTGCAACACAGCTACATTCCCGGACTCTTAATGGAGCCGTGGCTTCGGCAGGGACGACTGAACTGGATAAAATATACAAATTTTGTATATTTTGGTGAACAAATCACCATTGCTGGCTACGCAGAGCAGGGAAACTCACTAAACTAAAACGCCACGGATGCAGACTGCAATGTTTTTAACCGTAAAGAGATTCCATACTTGAAAACGTTGGCTTAGCCTTTACTTGAAATGGACTATTTTTTTTTTTAAAAGAAGGTATGCTAAAAGTCTCCTTACCTTTACTAATTTTATCCAGATTAACAAGATGGGCTGTGGTGTAATTTTGATCTCCTATTTAGCTTTTTTTAAATATATATATACACAGTACAACTTCCCCGTTTCTGAATTTCAGGTGCAAAAAGCTTCACTTCAGAAGGAACTCGGCAGCCATTGTTTACAGCGTTGCTAGGCGACACGAAACGTCACTTGTCTTTGACGTCCGCCAGCAAGTGCGTCTACATTGTCGCAAGATAAACCAGACACGTTCGCTAAACGCCCCCTTCTTCGGAGGTAACTCTTTGCTGTGCATTTCAGAGAAAATTCATAGGGTGTATGTTGTTTTGTTTCTTAAAATTCTGGCTCCCAGCGGTGTTTCCCATACAAGCAAACCCACGCATTTAAAAACTCGTCACCACCCTTGACTTCATTTTCACAAGAAAATGACCAATCTAGGTGTTCCGCAGGGATCGAGCTCGTACAACACGATTATTAACACCCAAGACATTCGATTTTATTTTAGGAGTAATTCATTGAAGCCATGTATGGTGTTATGGTGTCCTGCATCTTGGCCGGGTTTGAACAACAGTTGACCTGACGGGCCAGTGTGCACGTTGAATATTCGGTTTGCCAAATTTGCCTCTTGTTAAAAACATCTCAAAAAGATGAACCAGGACATCTGGCGTGGCCTCTCATCTTCCTTTCACATAGTGGATTGATCGATCGGTATCTAACTCCTTAGGAACCAACGCGTAGCCCTGTTCCATAAATGCATACAGCACATATATACTTTATCGATCCCGTGAGGGAAATTGCAGATGAAGAACAGAGTGTGAGGATGCATGTTACTTGTTAATTTGCTATAGAATTCTGCGATATCTGTTGCATGTGAAGAATTTCATAGGCTCCGATAAATTGCGACTTCAACCACAGTACCGAGCCAGTGCTTCATCGATGAGGTTGGCTGTCTTTATCGATTGGAATCGCTGCAGGTCTCTGCGTGAGCTCTGGGCGCAGGTTGATGACGACAGCAACGGCCTTGGCAACCGACTGGCGTTACTAGAAACAGACGGACCGCCGGCGAGGGGATTGTAAGATATGACAAATGATTTCAATTTCTTTTCCTGTTGTAAACATTGTACCTCAAGTGTGGGATTCAGTTCCACTTTACCACACCGGGTTAACTGACTGACGTCCTGTCACACTGTCAGTAGAATAGGTTTCCTGCTTCCACCTGTAGTGAGTGACATTGGTCTTACTTTTGGCGAAATATGGCGCATTTCATCTTTAGGATAGCGACGTTGGAAAGCTTTTTTTATGTGATAAACTGGTAACTCAGGACAAAAAACAAAAACCAATTAAGCTTAGAGCCCCGTATGTTTTTTCTTTGGTTTTTGAGAATTATTGCAGATCACCGAAATTATTGCTGTCATAGTTTAACGGTGATTTTTATTTTTCAGAAACTTAACATACCTCCGTAAAAATGGACGCAACAACCAAACCCTTGCGAATCCCCCCAGAAATGGGCATTTATGCGGAAAAGCATGAAATCTTCGATTTGCTTCAGGTATGTCGAGTGTTTGACAAAATAATTCTAAACTGTGAAGTCGAGTCTCATCTGAATTTCGCTTCGTTTTGATTAATAACAGTGAAGTGAACTCCTGAGCACTGCATGCTAAACTATTTTAAAAGGCTTTCAAAGTATTAAAGCTACGAAAGCTCACCTCCCGGAGAGTGAAGGAAACTTTCTTCTACTTGCGATGACCTGCTATGGGCTTCGCTGTTGTAGTCCATGCTGACCAGACTGCTAGTGGACGAGCCTGAGGACCCTATCCAGTTCCTGATTGACCTGCTGAAGCGGGACGGCCTGCAAGGTGAGTGAGTCAAAGCACAGGATAGGGGGATTTTCTCACACGGCAAGCTCCTGGCAGCTCCTGGAACCTCACAAGGAGAACTGACACAAGGATGAAAGCATGGAAAAAAAAAATCAATTATGTTATTTTACCACCAGAGGGCGCTGTTGTTTCAAATGACAGGAGGTGTATTGTCCCAGAGAGAGTCTATTTAGTTCATTATGCTGTTTCCGTTGGGCAACTGCGGCACTTACATTTCTTAATTCTAGCCTAATTCATTTTGCACCACAGACCTAGCTTCCTGGGTTCACAGTAATACGTGTTGTTATACGAAATGAGCATAACGCTAGATTGATCTGTCCGTTCTCTGCGGGTGACTTTTGGCTGCCACATGTTTCCTTCAGGTTTTCTGATGTTTTTGGATTTTCTGTTGACCTTACAGCAGCTTTCTATTTCTCACACCAGTTTTAGTAAACCGCCGCCCTGCACAGCATGCTGTACACGCTACATACCACATGGTGGCGCCCACAGCACTCCTTTGACCATAGTTCGTACCATTGAGCTAGATATCTGCCTTAAGGTTTCAATTTTCATTCAAAACACATGTGAAGCCGCAGATATAAAGCATTCCTTTCAGGCTTTCCAAGTCAATCTGAGAGCTATGCGTTTGTGATTTACTGATTAAGGCAGAAGATCACTTTTATTCTTCAAAGAAATTATCAAAGCTATGGTGATTATCTATGTATTTTTCAAGATGCTTAGGCTGTTAAGGATAGATTTTTTATTTGTAAGTATTAGTTGTTAATTCAGTGTTCTTTATAGTTCCTAGAGTTTTCCTGTTGGGCCCACCAGCCTCTGGGAAAAGGACTATTGTAAGTATGAAGGAATTAATTGTGTCCATTTTTTTAATATAATGCATATACCTAATGCATATGTTTTACTAGTCGTCGTTTATGTTTAATTTTCTGTTTTTTTCAGTGGGTGTTAAAACAGGGATTTCAGGAGGAATTTGAAATTGAGGAGAATGCTTCTGAAGTTATTTTGTCAATTAAAATATAAAATAAATGCATTGGCATGCAGGATATGCTGTTAAGGAGTTGTGGAGTTTAAGAACGATGTTGTCTTTTGACTAAGATCTGGAGTTTTTGGAGTTTTCTTTTTCTGTAATTCTGCAAAACAGCACTTTAAAAGTCATGTGTTGGTACATAGGCACATGCAGCATCAAGGTGGGTGACCTATTCCCACAGCTGTGTGATGGAAAAAGGAGCACCTTGAATACATGAGATCAGGTGTACATACAATCGGAACATTCCCACGGACATCAGCAGTACGCATTACAGGACACAAACATCACCGGTGTGCACCAGTCTAAGCATTTTGTATACACACAGATAAATAGATAAAAATAGATTAGATAAGATAAATTAGATTAGATAAATAGATCAAAAAGGGTCTGGTTTCCAAGATTAAGAACATCTGGTGTGTCCATAATGGGTACCTGTGTCTAGGTCATGATCCTGTCAGTATCTATACCTGACTGTGAACATAGACTGGATATTCATTCATTGATGTAAATCACTGTATCTGATTGTTTTCATGTTCTAGGCCAAAATGCTGTGTGAACACACACATGCCACTCAGATTAATGCCAGTAGTCTACTTAAGGAGGAAAGTGACCTGGTCAAGAGGGCTCTGCAATACCAAGAAAAGCAACAGGTATGTACAGTACTGCAGTATTGTGGGTATAGTGTCAGTTCTGCAGTATAGTGTCAGCAAAACAATGGAACAGTGAAGAAAAACAGCTCTGCAATTTTTTTTTCTATTCTATAACACAAATCTTACTGTAAAAGCTGAAATACTCCCAGTGCCTTCCATTACAGGATTTTTATTTGCAGATCAATTATTTAATGAAACAGAAAGGTTCGTGAAGCTCTGGAACGAACATCCCAGCCGTATTGTAGGAGCTGACAGTTGTAAAGAACCACCTTTATAGAATTCTTTCATAATTACTCTACCTGCCACCCAACAAGGTGGACAAATGACCTCTTCCGTAGTGACATTTCTGATGTTCCTTGGAATAGAGTATGAATCTATTAAGTGATTAAGGGGCTGGTTTTAACTAGGCCTTGCAATGGAACATCATCACTAAAAATAAACGTTGCAGTGCAAATCTTCATTCAGTTTTTCAGTATTTTAGATTCTAGATCATTGATTTGAATCTTAATCATAGTTTTCTATTCTTATACAGCAGGTTTGCTTTTTTCTATAAATGCACTGTATTGCTGTTTTAAAAGATCAGGCTTACGAGTCCTGGTTAAATAGTCACATGTGTGAAAAAGTATCTACCTGATGACGTCAGCCTTCACGGCCTGACGTTTGAGCATGTTTTTCTTCTTAGAGGTCTTAGTTATATTTCAGTTCTACTGTGGGTATTATATTGGTTTAATATTAATCTTTATTCTTTCACTGAATCAAGTTCATATAGAATCATGTGACCACATTCTGACATGATTTGCACATTTTGTTGCTGGAAGCAAGTACAAGGATATTGTGGAGTTACTGAGGCCAGTGAAACCAGTCTTAGGAGTGGATATTTTGTGATACTTTGACATCTTAAGCTTGTATAAAATCTATAGAGGATGTGCATTTGTGATAGCTGTGTTTTCTGTCCAAAATATTTGCCTTGTTTTGTTTTTTTTTACACGGACACATGCTGGAAAAACAAGAAGTACTTCATCCCGACATTCTTGAAAATGAGTTAATTTGTCCTCATTAAAAGCTTAAAAATGCATGAATAAATAATGATTAAAAAATAAACATTTTCTTTTTTATGTTTTGCCATATGTAAAATAGGCTGAAATAATTTCTTCTCCATAAAGCGTGTTATAAATTTGCCCTCCCCCAGTCTCCTATCTAGACAGTTCACACGTATGCCAGGATCTTGCTGTACATTGGTAGCTGAAAAAAGGCTTGTTTTTTGGGGACCTTTGAGATGTGAGTTAATGCAATTAAATGATGGTAGTGTTGCTCTCTTATCTTTGAATCTGTAAGCAAGTGGATCAGAAACTTAAAAAAAGAGAGTGGGAAAAGGAGCTTGAAAAGTCACTCCCAGCGGTTTAATTATTTTAATTATCATCCTCTTTCAGATTTTCTAAAAAAGGCCATTAAAGGATGCCCGTTTGGGTTAATCTGATTAAAAACTGAGATGGATAGAAAGATAAAAGGCCATGGTGTCAGTGTTAATTAGAGGAGTTAAAACGGCCATTTGTGAGCTGGGAGTTTAGGGAGGTGTGTTTTTTCTATATAAAACACAGCACCTCATATTTTAGATATGTGAGCTTCTTTTTTTTTTGCTTTCTTTCGTTCTTTTATATTTTTCACAAAACACGTTCGTAATCATTTTCCCGATTGTCTGAACGGCGTTTATCAGGATGTACTAAGCCTGAGCTTGCTAAGCCTAATACTAAGCCTCATGCTAGTGAGAGCCTCTGCTGTGCTTATACTGCTCTTTGCTTTTCTTGGTCTTGACATTGACTTGGTTTTAGATAAACCAGCGCAGCATTGATTACCATGATTGTAACATTGAAACGAACTTGAAAGCACAGCGAAAAATGAAATAGAATACTGAACTACTTCCCTTCCTGTTAAACACCTTACTATTAGACAGCTTTTGCTAAACAGCTGTGCTGTGTGACTTTCTTTTGCTGTGCTTATCATGCTTCTGGGACACCTCAAAATCTGGTTTAAAAGAAATGTATTATTCGCTTTATAGTGATTCAACATGTTTAGCTACTTTATGCTTTTTTTTTCCCATTTGCATGTTTAACTTTCTTGAAATCTATCTTAAGTGTTTCAGAAATCAAGAATGTTATTTTTTTTTCCCCCTAAAGCATGACAGTAGAGGAATCTAAGAAGGGCAAATAACTACTGTATAACCTTTGACTTTCAGCTGTAGGTGGTTTAGCATATGCCATTTCTGCTTTCCTAATAGTAAAGGTGGTAAATGTGTTATGTGTGAAAAATGCGTAAGTGATATTCAATAGATGGAAATACAGCGCTTCCATAAAAATACGTGCTGCCCGCCCGTATTCTCACAACATTAGGCTGAGATGACTCTGATACATCTTTTTATGGAGTGTGCTAACTTCTAATCCTTAAGCACTGACGTCTGTACCCTCCTTTCTCTTCCCTGTCTTTGTGAGAACCATGCTCAAGTAGGCCTTTGAAACTCTTTGTTTACCTTTAGACTGTCTGCCTTCTGTTTAATATGCACTGCTTATCCTTTTAAGGTGACTGAATACCAATGTGATTTTACTTTTTCTTAACAAAAAAAAAAACACGTTGCAGGTTTAAAATGTTCGTATTCATAATAAAGGTCTCCGTGAACTGAGGCTTTCGACATCACAAAGCAATTGTGAGCGCAGGGCTGCAACTTTTAAATCGGGCATGGACGAAAATTGCGAAAGCTCTTCGATGATCTGCATTTGGAAGGAGAGGGGGACATGTACAGTAATGACATCGTCACGACGGAGCATTTTATATCAGAGCTGATGCTACAAGACTGACTGAGAGCAGAGCAAAGAGGAATTCCGTACCCCAAACAGATGCAGTGGTGCAAGACCCGCATGTCAGAAGAAAGCGGGCCTGTGCGATATTAAAACCCGTCTGGCTGAGGCTGCGCACAGTGCCACCCCCCCATGCCCCTGCTTTCCCTCGCACGGCCACGGTCTCCCCTCTCAAGGTGACACTTCAAAGCCGCCTCCCAGATACTGGCAGTCTCTGAAGCCAGCATGCAGCCCCTCACTCTGGCTCTGCCTCCTGCTGGGGTGGTCAGCGCCAAACTGAGCACTCCATATCCCGGGAGACACTCTGCCAGAAAAACCCCCCACCACCTAAAATAAGAAATAAATTATTAAACACATTCCGGCGAAATAATAAAAGCCCCCCCCCTTTTTTTTCCCCCTCAATTACCTGTTTCCGCGCGGGGACTACGTAGGGAGGGGGTTGAGGGGTGGGGAGGAATTGCTTTTGAAGTGAGGATTTTGAATATTAAAGCTCTTATCTCTTTTCTTCGCCGATTTCTTTTAATGTACGTGCTGTGTCATTCTTTAAGGAGATCCCCAGTGAGCTTTGGATCAAGTTGGTCCAGCAGCGCCTGTCAAAAATGGACTGTATCAAACGGGTAAGCTCACCTGTGACCTCAGGTAGGCTCACCTGCGACCTGTCAGTCGAGCCAGCAACCCCCTGGGCTCCGAGATACAAGCCTGAACCAGTGGTGATTATTATTCCAGAATTGGACAGACTAGTATTAAACTAGGCATGCTTTTTCTAAATAAACACCTGGACATTAAAACACAATCTTCTCTTGGTGCAGACTTCCTGAAACTTGAAAGCGTTTTGTTAACACTCATAATTATTTGTCATCTTGAGTCGGCGCCTCCACTGAAAGTGACCAATTGAGTCTCATGTCTCTCCTGATGTCTGTGATCTCCGGCAGTCTTTGGCTTTCTGCAGTAAGAGCTGCTGCTTCAAACAGAATTGCCTGTCCTTCCCCTTTGTTAGGAGCACTTGATTATTTTGCAGTTGTCATTGGTTTGTGTTAAGTTGTGATAGGCTTTGGTGTGTGAGGAAAATGAGCATCCTGCATCATGCCGAGTGCTTTTTAATCTTGTTGCCTCTGGTTGAAGGTTCATCCTTTACTTTCTCTGATACTTCTGGACCCGTTTTCCGAGGCTGTTCATTAAATTTGATTTAATTTTCTAGTTTTTTTTTTTTCCTGTTAAGTTGTGGTATTTTCTTACACATCTGCACTGCCTGCACACCGCTACAGAAGGATTTGAAGTTAATAGAGATAAGCAATACTTCCACTGTATAGCAGATATAGCCAGTCCCAGGCTTCCTCTGAGGTTTAGCACTGCATTCATTCAACCCGATTAGACAAGCTGTTGATTTTTACAAGCTCAAATGTCAGTAATTAATACACTAGGTCTTGGCTCTTGCTGTTAAGCAGGAGACTGTTCATTTGTCCTGAAGATTATCGGTGCAGTCATTTACTGATGCCTTTTGATTAAACAGTCTTTACAAAAACAAATAGTTTTGGATTTGTAAATGATTTATTTTCTAATTGCATTTTTCAATTTCAAAGGAGGCCCTACAAATTGACATTTCATGCAGTTTATGAAAATATGCAATGCAATATTACAGAGAACTTTCTTTTTAATTTTAATGCAAAAAAGTACAGCCGAAATGTCATGGGCGTTTTAATTGGTTTAACTTTATCCCTCTGCCTCCTGTATAAATACATTTAGAGAGCCATCTCTTTTTTGGTGATGTTTGTTGTGTAAAAGCAGGGAGCGATGTACAGAGGTTTTTAATGAACAAGCCGTCGACAAAAATGCCCTATCCTATTTAGTGAAACAAAGTTGTTCTGTTTCTGAGGGTTCATGTGGATCGCCACCCCTTTCCTTTCCTCAAGCACGAGGAACATGCAGACAGGCCCCAGTAGAATAATGTGCTGTGTTGGTGAGTGGCGGAACTATGCATAAGCCATGACTGGTGAGGCACAACCAGAGGGAGCAGGGTGATTGATTTGTTGCTTAGTGAGTGGCAGAAAACGGGCTACAGATTTATTAGCAGGGAAAGGGGAGAGAGGGGAAGAGAGTGTGCATATGTTAATCCAGTGGCTGAACGATGATCAAAGGCTGGAACAAGTCAAGGCCTGCTGGCTGCCTCAGGGCAAACAATGGGCTCCAACAGCCAGGAGAAGGTAGAAGAAAACAAACAGATAGTTATAGAAATCAATAAACTGTATTTGGGTTTTGTTAAGGCAAGGGAAAGAAATGCTCTGAAGGCAGTGTCTGGACTTTCACAAGGGAGGGTGAGAAGTTATTGGTGTTTAACTCTTAACTGCTTCCCAGGCAGTGGGTACCAGCGTGTTTGACCTGCCATGTGTCTTCCTCGTGCACCGAGTACAGGAAAGGGGACTGTGTAAAAGCACTGTGATTGAACGGATGGCAAAATGACTCTTGCAGGTTTGAACAGCAAGTTCTGTGCAATAAGTGGAAAAATGATATAAAGGCCTGCTCTGAGCTGTGCCACGTGTCATAAGTGGATAAAATAGCATTTTGATGTTGGTGAATTACTGCATGGGCCAGGAAGAGGAGAACCGGAATCTTCTGAAGTAATGTAAAACTACACTTCAGACAAAATGTATTTGGCTGCATTAGATATTATATTGCATATAAGTGTATATTAGCTAAAAGCAGATAGAAACCAAAGTATTTTTTCCAGTCCACAGAGTCTTTTGTTTCTTTGTTTTTTAAGTATTTACTTTAATTACTTTTGTTACATTCCTTTAAATATGGCTGGCTGAATCCAGAGGACACTTTCAACACTGCTTAATAAGGTAAAAAAAAGATTTTCCAAGCCATTTTAGAATAGCAAATCCCTTAAACTGGACTAATTTGGAATTCAAAACAAAGGCTATTTCAGAAACAACAGCTGCAAAGGCCTGTTTCTTTTTTTTCTAGACTTTATACTCACATATACTGTACACCTGCAGTCCCTGAGGAGTGTTTCTCGAGTCCCAGGAGAGTTGAGTCTCTAATGGCTGCAGAAGATTGCACTCTAAGAGAATTAGAAATACATCCCTCCTGCTGCTTCTTTGAGCCTGCATGCCAAAAAAACAATGCCCGTATTGGTGCCACAAACGATGCTTTGTACGATGCACTCTGCAGTGGAGCACTGCAGAAATTCTAGCTGAATGCCCTGATGGATGTAATTTCTCTGTAGAAGTTTGAAAAAAATATATGTACACATTTAAAATTGCAAACACTGGTTTAGTTTTTAAATTTAGCAAATTGCTTGGCTCAAGCTGAATAAATTACGAAACTTTTTCACTGGGCATCCTTTAAGTTTTACTTTTAAGTTAAGTAATTTTACTTTTTTAAACTGGGAATGGATGTTTATCCCTCCAGGCTAAATGTCTGATTATTTTTTTTTTAATCTACATAAACGCAGCGTATTCAGCGAGGAATACAGGCCCTTTCTGTAGCTGCAGGGAACGTTTTCTGAAGATAAATCCCCTCAGTCTGTTTCAGTTTTGGGTGGAGGTCTGTCTGCCTCTGGGATAGTCTAATTCGTGTCTTGGTCCGTTTCTGTGTTTATCAGTTTACACAATTTATTCATGTATGAATGGTGGAGAGATTGACACGTCTCGCCATGAACACAACCAAGACTCCTTTCACCCTCGTGTATTATCTGTTTACCTGTCTCATATTAAATTACTTTGAATAATAATTTTTATCATTTTAAATCTAGGTCAGTTGGTTTATCCTTGTCTGTCAGTTGTTTAAAAATGATTAAATATCTCTTTCCTTCTCTTGCTGCCAAAACTTTAAGACGGTAATCTATTGGGAAATCACAGAGAAATATTTCAAAATGAGGCTAAGCATCAGGGAGCATTATTAATACCTGAGGGGTTTAGTACAACATAATGACTTGAAAAAGCCATAAAATAACTTCTTGTATGAGTGTAGTGAGGAAAGATGTTCAACTGGAAATCTTTTAGAATTTGTTCTTATTGGATCAGTAGTTTATTTCGATAGGTTAAACAGCTTGGGTTAAATTTGAGTTTTTAAATTTGTGTTTCAGAGTTCTGATAGGAGGCCTTTCACTTGTGGTGCTTTCAAAGGCAGTAAGTAATGGGACACATTCACCTTTAGTGAGTTTCAGAATGTAAATTCAGATTTTGGTTGTATATCCCTTTAAGGTAATACCTCCATGAAGCAAAGGAGTAAAGGACCTTACACGGAGCTCACAGAGTCTGTGTAAAAACTGGTGATGCAGTCACATTTAGTTCTTGACTCTTCTTGGGGTTTTATGACTTAACCTGTGAAATGCATCTGAAGTTGGATTTAAATCTGGAGAGTGACCTTTGCCAGTCTAATATTTTTCACTTTTCCCATATTCACTTCTTCTTTGCATCGGCTGTATGTTCCAGGTCATAGTCATGCTGTGTGGTGAAGTGCAATTCATCATATTAGTTTTGCAATAGTGGAATTCGGTTTTTCCATCCACATTCGGTTCAGAACATTGTGAGCAACCCTTCTATATACTAGAAGTTTATTTTTAATAAAATGCTAACACATATTTTGCATTTCCTTAGCAATTCAATGAGACCTTGTGTACAAGAGACGTCTTAATTAATTTGATTTCTTCTTTACTTACTGGAGGCTTCTGATTCACATTCCTGAAGAGTGCAGAGATGGTCTTATTCATCTGCCTAATTAGAATTTTTTTTTTCTTAAAATCTAATATTCCAAACACAGTATGTGGTTTCTGTACTTAAAGGAAATAGGTTAACATACAAAATGCACATACTGTATAAACTCCCATACAAGTTGGTGGCATTCATTATCCTCATTTATAATAACTGTGCCTAAGTGTCATTTTTAATTACAAATCAAAACCACATATTTATCATGAAAAATCTCTAAACCATGAAATGCTCAATATGATACCAGTAATATTATACGTTAAGGTTGCAAATGTTTTCATTTTGATTAATTATTTTTCCCCTTATTTTTCCTGTGTTTTTCATTTGCAGATTATTCTTATTATTATTATAAATAATAATAATATTAATATATGTAACATCTAAATGGTACTATGAACTGAACACATTCAGAAACAAAAGTTATTAGGCTAGGATTGGAATGTGTACAGGGAGAACCTACAGAATCTAAAAAGGAATTGTAAATATTGAAATATGGCATGCTGGATCTTCCCAGAAAGAATCTGTTAATTTATTTATGCTCATTTGTCAGTGTCTGTAATTGAGTGTACTAAAGCACAGCTATTTTGAGCTGACCAGAGTTATCTAATGCAAATTTTAGGGTAAAAAAAATCAACAGCTCTAAATAATTGCAGCTGATAAAATATGCATTGTGTTCCCTCGCATAATATTGCTTCAGTTCAGTTCTCGTTGCAGCTCTGTGGTACAGTAATGGCACCTATATACTGTAGTTTATATATAGTGCTTTTTTTTAACCCGATCAGCGCTGTTACAGACTGCTTGCTTGAGGATTCTGGTTCATATTCCTGAACATTGTAGAGATGATTGGATTAATTTGTTTAATTAGTGTGTCTCGTCTTTTGAGCACTGTCCGTGGATTCTGTACTTTAAGAAATTGTGAACTTATTTAATAAACCAGTATTCCAGATTTTCCCCTTTTATGGGATGATCAGGAGATATCAAGAATCATGAGAATCTTGAATGAAAACACAGTAGCAATGAGTCTAATGAATACCTTGGCTATTTTCAATGTTTTGTTGTTTACACTCAAATATTGTTGGACCTGTTGAATGTGAACTAAAGGCAAAAAAATGAAAAAAAAAAACTTTTAGTTTAAGGGACACAGGATGTGTTTGCTGAGAGCAATTTCTTTATCGTTCTTAACCAGACAAATACTGGCCTGTTGTCCCCGCCTCTCTCTTCAATGTCAGAGCGAATGCTTATTTACACTGCTTAGGAAAACAGCTGTTTCAAGACAATGCTGTGCAGTGACAAAAGAAATATGACTCTTAATGAGGATAACGGCTTGGCAGTCCTTAACCCCAGGGGATCACACACAAAAAAAAAAGAAAGAAAATGAAACGAGAAACTTTAATGTGTGCGTACTGAATGGTACTGTTTTATAATAGCCTTAAAAAAATAAAAACAGGTTTAGCATAACCCATTGCAGCGCTGATGTGCTTGGGAATCGGCAACAGCAGGATACTCCAGTCTTCCCACACTTATCTTTTTGCTTAGAGGTTAAATTAACTGTCCCTGTAAACCAACCTTGTGAGACTCTTGCGTGAAGTGACAATTTATGCACTCGTGTCGGGAGGTAGATGTATTTATCCTCGTTGATTCAAAACTGTTTTCTCCTCATGTTGACGCCTTTAATGACATTGCAAGAGCGATCTGCTAATTTCGAAATGCAATCACTTGCTGTGCTTTCATTTGACGTATGCTTGTCATTTCCAGAATGCAAACAGTGACAGGCGAGACGACAATCATGTATTTCTGTAAGAATTAAAATCATTGAATCATTTTATTTTATTTGCGAACCGCGTGCCTACCCCTCTGTCTTAATGGAGGTAAGCCCTTGCACTGCGTGACCTGCTCTGTGTTTCAATTACAGACTCTTCTCTTTGCAGAAGCAGGGGCTGCGAAGGGGCCAGGCCGATGCTGCTCAAGGATCCATAGTGTCTACAGCTCTGGGCACCCTCTGGGATTGCCCATAGAGGACAAGCCTTTTTAATAGAAAAAACACACAGACAATGATTAGATGATTAGCGCCAGGGTGACTAATTACCTAAGTGTGGAGTCGAAGGGGGGGCTGCAGGAAGAGACGGGGCCTGGCGCGCGGTGGGTGAGGCGGTGCTTCGCCGAAGGTCTCTCTCCTCCTTGTACAGCCTTGCTCCCCGCTGCCTCCCAGGCCTGCTGTTCACTCCCAGTGACATCTGCTCTGCGCTTGTCCCTCCTGTGATACGGTACCCCTGTGCAGATGTTCCGGTCCCCGGGTCCTGCGCGAGCCGCGCGAGGCGGCCCCTTTGATGTGGGATGAAACGGAATGGCGCGAGCCGCTGGGGGGGGGGCGGCGAGGGGAGGCTGGCTCATTAGAATTTCAATCAGGCGCGGCGCGCGGCCTGGGCCGCCCGCGGCGGGCGGGCGAGGAGCGGGGAGCTGGCCAGCTCGCTCGCTGCTCACTGGGCCACTTGTGCCTTCGCTTGGGCCTTTCTGCACCACGCGCTTAGCTTGCTTTAGCAGACTTAAACCCTCTTGCTTTTTAAGTCCACTGAAATACGGAATGGCAAAACATCAAATCTAACGCTGGAGGGGACTGTTTGGATTTTGGACTCTTTCCTGCTTTTCTCTCTAGAACCTTTTCTGTTGTTTTGATCAGTCTCACCTCTGTGTGTGTGAGTGTGAGTGTGTGTGAGAGAGACATTTGTGTAAGCCTTAGCTTCACACTGGGACTGGGTAGTTCCACTCTCGTTAGAAGAGAACCAGGGTGAATTTTCAGTGGTATAGCAGAGTACAGGCCACTGGATATGAGCTCTTGGTGGTTGACAGAGCTGATTTGTGGAATTAGGAATTACAGAAGTTCAGACAGCGATTATTAACATTAGAGGCTGCGCATGTTCCTGCCTCAGTGGTTTTGGTAATGATGAACTCCAGGAGATGGGGAAGGCTCAGAAGGCAATGTTAGCACTATTAATTTTACATTCATGGGCAATCGCCATTTTTTTGGTGCACCAAAGATATTAGAGTTATAATAGTAAGTCCAGGAATATATATTTGTGGGATGGTTATAAAAAATGTTCTCTACAGTTGATCATGGCTTTCTGTTACCTTTGATTTAAGTACCTTCCCAATTATGGATAATAACTCATGGTATGACTCTTTTTGACTACTCTATCATAAATAACGAATAAGAAATGTTTATTTCCCATCTTAATATAGGACACAATGCTCAATCATTGCAAACCTTGATTACACAGGTATCTTCTTCAGGGTGATTATTCACAGTTACTGTGTCCAAAACGGATTTTTTGTTTGTTATTGGTCTAAGGAAAAAAAGATACTGACTTGCTTGCATCGCACACCGCTTAGCCATCTAAGCAGATGTTATTTTTTTTATTTTTGGAACTCCCCTACAGATTGTTAGTGTTCAGATTTAGGAGAATACTGCGAGGTTTTTGTTGCTTGTCCTTTTGTGGACCAAAAATGTTTTTATTTACCAAAAAATTAGTTATTACTGCAAAGTCATATTACATGTAACGAAGATAAATTTGTTCATAAACTGCTTTTATGCCATTTAGATTTATTCCAGAATGCCAAGCTATCCTGTTGTATGATAATTTTTGAATATGGCAAATTACAAACTTGTGAAATGGCTAGAGTGCATCACCCAATTGAGCATCACACTTCAGTGGTATATGAAGTAAGCTTTCTCTTTCCACCCTACTGGATGAGGAGCACTAAACAAATGCAGTGAATTATGATGGCGTTGAGCTGCTTTTCTCTTACTAATTTAAATGAATTGTTTTTGTGACACATTAAAGTCATCAAAGACTGGCTGATGCATAGCTCACCTATTCTGATCATTTTAACTGCAATAGCGCCGGGGCGTTCTCAGAAATTTGCACACCGCTGTAAATTTTCCTCAGATAATGATGTTGGGAACCCCAGTCATTGGCTATTTAAAAACAAGGCCTGTGATGCTGAGCACGCTGACCTGCGTATCAAGGATTCGCAGGTGAGGAGTCTGCTGCCTCTTCCAGGGATTGGGATATAAATTCCCCTCAGTGGGAAATGTAGCCTGATAACAAGCTGAATGCAATCTTTGGCAGCTCAGTGCCTACACATTGGAGGCAAATAAAGTTTAATGGAAAAACCTGCAGTAGCATGAGTGGGGGATCAGGTAAACTACAGATAGGTTAGCAGTTAAAGATCAAAGCGAAAAACAAAGGCAGATTTCAAACAGACCCTGGAAACTCAATAACACACCCGCAGCTCCTCTGATAATACTTAGATCTATAAATGTTTATTTTATTTATTTATTTTTAAGATATTCATTGCAATAATAAGTTGGCCTTAACAAGCACTTGTGGGAGATGGCTTCTTTTTCCGTTTTTATTTTCCTGCTCCATTGCGCTCCAAGCTTTGGGATTTAGGGGACTATTAGAGAGAATTTCTTTTATTTGTAGCTAATGAATGATATGCATAATATTTTCTTTCTTCTTATGTTCTTCTTTTTATGGCTAACAGTGAGAACTGGGGATAGGAACAAGAGAATTAGACACATTTTCAAGGTTTTATTAATTTAACCCTCATCTTGCCTCACTGTATGAGGCATCACATTTGCTTTTCATTAATGAATCTGTATTCCTCTTCTACTTTTTATTTTTTTTCTGCTCATACAAGGCATGGAACTGACAAAAACATGTCAATTTAAAAATGTGATTATTCTACTGTATGAGCATTTAGGCTTGTTTTTTGTAGATGAGTAAAATTGGGACTTTAAAGATGTTATTCATTCTGGATGGGTGCCAGTTACACATAGAAAAAATTTAAAGTTTTTGGCAAACTCACAAGAAATCCCAACTTGATCCTTACAAAACACAATACATTTTCTGTTTATAATATGTTCTATAAGGTATTCTCTTCTAAACTTATTAGCCCCTTTCTTAGACTCCATTATTTTACTTAGTTTACTGAAGATTGTTTTGAGATGCATGGGAACAATATCCAGATTCAAAATACCACGTGTAGCCTGAAACTAATTGCTCCTTTTTAATGATACTTCTATAAGTCAAATCTTCACCAATAAGTACGATAATAACAATACTGGAAGCACAAAAATTCAAGAACAAAGCTCAGGCACATCTCCTAGGTGTGTTACACTTTTGCTAATTAAAGCTGTATTGTGCTCTGTCCTCAGGGCTGGGTGTTTGAAGGGTTACCAAGGACTCGTGAACAGGCTTTGTTACTGCAAGAGGCAGGCATTGCGCCAGAACATGTAGGTGTGTACTTTTTGAAAGCACATATCCCCTTCTCCTTACTATTAAGATACAAATATGTGTTAAAATTGAAGAAAAGGCTTCTGCATAGCGTTATGAAGGTGCTGTTCAGAATTAACATCCAAATACAGCGAAAGTGAAAAATGGAAGATTAGACTTTGACCATTCTGTATGGTGAGAAATCACGTCAGATGTCATGAACAACATTAAGGAACATACTCCAAGAATCGTCTAGTCATCAGAGCAACAACCTTTTTATTGCCAAGAAACATGTCGAGTAGGTGCTGAAACAAGAAGGTCTTTCTTGGGCAAAGTGTGAGTATCTTGCGAGTATTGGATAAAATCTCAGAAGTAGCTACTATCGCCCAAAATGAGCCATGTGAAGAACTCAGTCACAGATTTCAAATCTCCCATGGATAACAATCAAGCCACCACAGCCAATACAAGGGAGCTCCAGTTAACAGTTTGGTCAAAAGTGAAGTTTTAACCTGGCTTAGCCCATGATTCAGTTTGATTGAATTTCACGGAGGATCCATGGTACTTCTCAATTTGAGAAGCTTCCCGACCTCCAACTACAGCTCTGGCTCCATCTCCTGGCATGAATAATTCAACAGGTGCATTCACGATTTTGAAAATAATTTTGGCCCCTCCTTGATTACATTTCTGCCAAAAAAAAAAAAAAAGAGTACTTCCTCACTGTGTAAACACTTTAAAAGCAGACCTGAAGTGTCAAAAAATGGGACAGGACACGGGACGTCCCTCTTGGCAGACCCAGCATTCGATGTCCAAATTAAGCCCCCAGGTCCACACCAGCGGGGCCTGACAAATACCTTTCACCCTCTTCGCGGAAGATTGTCTGGGCACAAGCACTCAACCTCCAGCAACGCAACGGCGCCACCAGTCAAGCTGATAAGAGCATGTTTCAAACGTGTGGTGACCGATCTCACACAGGAGGTCCCTGACTTTGATCTTTCACAAGGGCTACGGGCGTCTCCGAGCCACATCTATACAGATAATTGCAGATGTAGCTGCTGCACTTCTGTCCAGACTAGGCTTTAGAGTAGCACACAAGCTATATTCTGGATGGGTAAGGTTCCTGGTCATATTTTGGTACAGAGTATTTTATTTTGTCATGTGCATATACTGTAAGTACTTTGTACTAAGAATTTTACTTAACCTTTAAGTATGACATGAATGCTTTTGTAGTTGAAGCTGCTTCTTCAATTCTCTGTACTGTAGTTCATAGTGAGTCTTTTCTAGGAATTTAAGAGTGCTGTTTATCTTTTACACTCTCTCATTGTCTAATAAGAAATAAAATGAGCATTTTTTCTGGTTTAGTGTTTCTGGATGCTCCTGACACTGTCCTCATTGAGAGGAACCTGGGAAAGAGAATTGACCCTTTCACTGGAGGTGTGTATATTTATAATAGAGGGTTACTTACTGGAGTGCCTTGAAAATTCTATTTTCCTGCCTCTACTTTAACAGGCAATTGGACAAGCCTTTTAAAGAAAAATTCAGGCCAATGGAATACTTCCATCTTAACATTTCTTACTATCTTTCACATGTTCAGGGTAGTTTTGAATAGTTTTTCAGTTTATGTGGTATTATCCTTTCCTCAATACTAAACTTTGTTTGTCTTACAGTTGAAATTTTGTGATGTTGCCTTTATTATTTTTCTGTTATCTCTGCGGTGATATACATGTTTTTACTCTTGCGTGCATGCCATGTAGGTGTGTATGTAGGTTTATTTTGGTAAAATTGTCAATTTAAATTGATCGCATTATGGATTCAGTCATGTCTGTCCCTCTTACAGTTACACACTAATGTCCTTTCCAAGAGAAAATGAGTGCGTGACTCATTCGAGCATAATTAACCAAGCTATCAGGTAGTGATTTACATTTGGGAAGCTTGCTGTAACTCTCCACACATTTATCTTGCCACCTTGCTGCTGCCCAGTCCAGTAGAGCAGTAGAGAAGGTCTGACCTTGTGCGTGTCCCTTCCCCATCTCCCCCATCCCTCTCGGACTTCCAGATGTGTATCATGCCACCTTCTCCTGGCCCAGTGATGACGTGGTGGCCCGCCGGCTGCAGGAGGCTCCGGGCATCTCAGAGGAGGAAACCGCCGCCCAGCTGCTCCAGTTCCACAGGGAGAGCCACGCGGTGCAGAGGACCTACCAGCAGCAGCTCAGGGTCATCAACGCAGACCAGCCCTCTGCCGACGTCTTCTCGCAAAGTACAGCCATTCTCTTCCAGCTGGAGGTTCCTCATTTACAATTGATAATGACCTGTTACTAATAACTCTTAATACCATCCTTATTATTTTATTAATGCACTGAATGATTGCTAAAGCTACACATCTCTTCCAGGGACAGCACTACCGTCTGCCATCTGTTTCAGGTTTTCAGGAGCAAATCTAGCACATTTTAACAAATTTACTAACAAATAAGAATGGCACAGTATGTGGTGTCATATTATATTAGCGAGTCAATAACACCAAAAGGGTGAAATGTCTTAAACTGTAATAGAGATGGATTATTAATTATGTTGTATCTTGCAGTGTTACTTTGATCTCAAGGTTTCACAAAAGCTAACAACGTAGTTGGTCTCTTAACTGCGTTTTATGCACTGGTGCCTCACAACGGTGAACAAAAACCAAGACAGATTGTGATTTACTAAAAAATTAAACCGTAAAAGCATGAGTAAACAAAGAATAATATAATATAACTTAAACATTTAACAGTGATTACCCACACAAATTCCCCAAATATCAAAGGTATTACATGTTATATTGTATACTTAATAAAATTAGCAAAGTTTTGTTTTTCAAAACTGCCCATAAATGGACTTCCAGTGGCTCCCATCTAAGAAGGAGGTGCAGCTAAAACAACTTGCACTGAGTGCCCCTTTTCTCTTTAAAAAATTTTAATCTAAATTTAAGTTTAATGCAGTTTTGAAGGCTATACCTCAGTTTACATGTCTCTTACGAGAAACATGGCTCATCTGTGATGGAACAAGTTAGCTACCCCTCAAAGTCAAGGATCTGAAAGCTAGAAAGCAGCTTACATTTGACACTGCAGACACCACGCTTTCCTGCAAAGCCCACGATCTCTCTTGAATGCAGCTCTGCTGGCTGAGGGATTTTATTATGGGTTGGCTTTGGCACTCCCTGAAAACCAGTCTATTTGCTGATGTCAAAGCTGTCTGTGCTGTGCTGGTGACCATCCAATATTGCCTTTAGCATTTGGAGGAGAGGAATACAGCTGCTCTGTCGTCTCTTTGACAAAGAGAGTATAAGTGGGTGGATTTTTTCAGCAAGTGGAGCACCAGATCTGTGACAGCCTCAGAGAGTTGGAGAAGGAGATGACCCTGCATCAATCCCTTCTGGCCAAATGGAGGTTCAGTCTGGGTCTTCTAGAGTTATTCCACTCACACAGTAGAGTGTGGAAGATGTTTTGTCTCAGTGCAGAAATCCCCCGCCCATCTCGGAGTGCAGTCCTTTCTGCATTCTTTCCAGGTCATGGCTAGTGCCGTGTGATCGAATGATCCTGAATTGGAAAATTGCTGTTGTTATAAGATAGCTGTTTTCATGTAAATAAAAAAATTGCTTCTTCTTAAAAAAGGCAAAGACCCCTACGAATGCTATAATTATCACCCATTATCACTATTAAACTCAAATATAAAAATATTACCAAATACTCTTTTCGAAGTGGTCACATTCAACTGACAGGCTTCTTAAAGAGCCAGTTTGCTACTGATAACATACTGCACCTCTGCCATGTTCTGGATCAAACTCCCTAGATACAGAATGCAAAATGGCGTTGGATCTTATTTTTGTTTTCATTTTAGGGCTGTTCTAGAATGCTTTGGTTTTGGCTGTTCAATTCTCAATATGGTCTGTTCACAGTAGTGAACAGTGCTTGAGTAATTGCAGGCCCAGTTATGTTTCCTCAGTTCACACAGAGCATGGCTGTCCATTATCACCTTGATGGCTTGTAGTTTTGATAGAACACCTGGCACAGCTTAATAGACAAAATAGTGCTTCAGCCTCCCTCCCATTGACATACAGGGCACTGAACATGATATTTCACCCTGATGAGATGGTATTATTCTTTCTGTTTTCTTCTTGTTCACTTACATGTCCCATACAGTCCCATGTATTAAAGCTCTTTAATAGGTTCAGATCAGACCTTATGGCACAGAATCCCGCTGTGATATGGGTATTACCGCTGTAAAGGTGGCACAGAAGGTAGAGGGTTAGTTTGAGCTATGTGGTACACAGCTATGACTTGCCAAAGAAGCAAGTATTCCTGGATGTCAGGACGTAACCAGAGCGGGCCAGAGGTCAGGAGATCTGGATTGGGAAGATTACACCTCATCTACTCACCCACCTTGGGAAAAATAGGTTTAGTGCAAATTTAGTAGGTAAGAAAATGTATATTCTGTAGCGATCATGCTGTGGTGGTTGCGTTGCAAAACCTTCAGGTTAGGAGGCAGTTTGCTGGGTAGTAAATAATCTCATTACACTTGGGGTGTCAAACTTGGGTGCCAGTTAAGCTGCAGTAAAGAAAGTAGATTTCCCATGTTCCTGTGTTCCATGCTCAAGTTATCTTCCCCACTGGAGTCTGGCTGCTGTGTCGTCATGGAAAAGATGTAGGTTAGAGCACTTATGGTGGAGATTTTGCTTCACCTAAAACTAACAGCATGTCAGAAGATTTTTCTTTCTTTCCTTTGTTATTTGGTTAGCCCCCAATTAATATTTCTTGTGCGAGTTCCCCCACCCCAGTTTTGTATATTTTGTGAGAGTTATATTTTTGTTTTTTTTAATGATTAAAATTTATTTTAAGAAAATTCCATAAATAATCGCCTTGAATACATTCATTAGAGGAAAATATAACTTTAGAGTCTTTCTTAGATGGCATTTGAACAGCATTTGACTTTGAATTTATGTCTTGTCGCGTAAGGAAACACATGCTCTCTAAAAATGTGAAACGGAGAGTTTATATGGCATTATTCATATTGCTCAGCTTTGCCATCGCAACTTCCTCAGGGAAATATTGTATATTTAAGTGTGAAGTCTTTGATAAATGTGGTTCAGGTTATATTATGTAGGCTCTATTCCCCTTTCATATAAACTACAGTAGGTATAGCACACATGCGTACTCAAGCCTGCTTTTGTACTACAATATGTACAGTACTTTTACTTCACAATTTACACTTTGTATTATGCTCTTTTCTTCTCAAAAAGAGAACTTCTTCTGTAAAGAGTTTTGCTCAAGCATTTTAAATGCCCCTTCTTTTGTTGTGAGAAGTTGAACTGAGTAACAAGTTTTAAGGTTTCTGTTCAGATAACAAAGGCCTTTGTTCAGTACATTGGTGATGAATATTCTTTCATCATAATCAGTGGACAATCCATTTGCTCACATGTCCCAAATCTGGTGATAAATGAGGGGCGCTAATTGGGATTAAGGTTCAATGTGTTGTGTGCGAATGCCTCTTTAAGAAATTGCTGGCGCACTCCCTTTTAGCAGAGAAGATCCATCACTGTGTCTCCTGGTGTCCATGTGAGGATCCACTCCAGATTCCAGTGAGACTAGTTATGCGATTGGGATTCTCCACAGATGACACGTGCTGTGGTTTGGATGCTTTGTTCTCTGCAGGTTTGCCTTTGTTTTAGCCAGGCGTACTGCCCTCTACAGTAACCCCTGCTGGTTATAGGGGGTTGGGGTTAAACCAGCTCTGATGCATCTCAGTTATCGTAGCAGTAAGAAGTGGGGGACTTTGCTTTTCCTCTCCATCAACCTGCCCTTCACCTTATTGCTTGGGATGGCTAGCCCAAGGCAAAGCCAAAGGCTAAGAGCATCCCAAGCGGCCTTCAACCAGGATAAGCTGCCAACACGAAGCCTATTAAACACATTTGAGTACAACCTGTCTCAGTATTACATGGCTCTTCTTGACAAAATAATTCAGTTATTTTTTTGTTTTGGGAGGAGACTCTGTGTTGTGTTTTCAGGAGTGTGGTTTCTGGAAATAAACAGATACATGAATTTTTTAATGTCAAAGACATAAAAACCGAGGCGTTCCAACAGACATGATGTGTTTCTTCATGGTTAAAAAATGTGTATACCATCTTACAGTGTGTCTTCTAGTCAAGTTATTTAACCAAAAAAAAAAGAATATTGTAAGACTTTGAGATGAGTGAAAACTTAGTAATAAGTGCCACTAAGATATACAATTACATTTTATTATCTAATTACAAGCTATATTTTTCAGATTTTTTGGTTGCTATGTACTACATATTTTTGGTTACATATTTCAGAAAAGCATACAGCATTTTTTTAAAGAACAATGTAATTCTTGTTCCCCATATAAAGTCTGCATATTTCTTTCCTTGCCACGGACATTTAGATTTTCAGATGGATGCTCCAGTGTAGCACAGGTGTACTATTGTGGCTTCTCAGTATATTGCTGCCCCTTTTAGAGGGCATATTGATGTCGAGAATTGTGCCTGTGACATTATTCGTCTTTAATTCTGGCTGTCATTAATGTTGTCTAAGGGGATGGGCAATACATTATTTGCAATGCTCCAACTGATTTCTATAACCTTGCCTTTTTATAGATACACATAATGCAGGTGCTTATGAACTGTTGTCTTCACAAAGGTTGTGATTAAACACGGAACAGCTGCCCTTAAGAGAAAAGGAAGAGCAACACTGTACTTTTTTATTTAATCAGCTTCGTGTTTTGGGTGTGATTTGTAAATGTGAGGTTTGGGGGCGTGCTGTAATGGCGCAATATATAATTAATATCTTATGATTTGCTTGATTGCATTAAACGGAGAAAGATTTTTGGGGGCATTTTTGCATTAAGTATTCATGATTCTTGATTGAAATACAAACTGCAATAAAGCAGTTGCCTTGAATATTGATTATTGCTAATTAAAAATGCGGTTTGATTAGGAAGTTACCAGCTTCTTCTCTTCCTCTGACTTAGCTTTTCCATCTTAACATTTGCATTTTTTTGCGCATGAGTTTTATCACTGTTTGAGATTTCATATACCAATTAGCAGCAGAGACCATACAGGGAGTCATTAGTTATAATTAGCCTGTGGTTAATTACTATACATTAAAATCGAGTCATCATATTGAAGAACAGTATTGTTGAGAAGAAACCCAACTGCAAACAGCTGTTAACTTGCTTGAGAGGGTCATGGTACAAACAAAAACTCCCTTGGAAGAGAAAGGGAGCCACTCATGATTTATTGATTGCCTCTTTTTATTTTCAGATTAGCAGTCTGTTTGTCACGGACTAGGATTTAAAAGGATTTGTGCCCCAGTAAGGTTCTGGATTATCTAGAGCAATACTTAGGGGTGTAAGATGAACTTTGAGCTGGTGGAACTTTGGTTTCTGTTACTCTTTCTGTTTTATTAGTATATTAATTTGGGTTGGAGGCATTTGTAAATCATTTCAGGAACAAAGTTGCCAATAATCATTATAGCACAAAACACAAATAATGTGATGCCCCACTTATGGACCCCACAAAAGATACATTTAAGGACTGGCCTTGAGAGGGCCTGGTATGTTGAAACATTGTTTTGATGGGCATTGCACAGTTATGACAGAACAAAATAAAGTTGTTTTAAGTTACCTGCTTGTCTGTTGATCTAGAACTCGGGTGTCTCTGCAGTCTGCAAGACAAACCCTGGCATTGACCTACAACACAAAAGGCAGCTATGCTCTGTTCTCAGTCATTTTCAAATAAAGAGCAAGAGGAACACAATTTTTTGCATAATTCCTCCACTGCATATGAAAATTTAGAGATGATTGCTGCACTTTGGTTTTTGTATCAAACTTAAAAAAACAAGTTCATATAATTACCATGTACTGGCGGTGGTGTTCAAACCCGAGGTATTAAAAACCTTAGTATATGGTGGATTTGCTAGTTCATTACACTGATTTATGTATTTTTTTTCTCCTTAAACAGCGCTGACCTTTGCCCTGAGCCGCCCCCGCTCGGCGGCCCCCCATACTCCTCGTGTCGTCCTGCTCGGATCCCCCGGCAGCGGGAAGAGCCTGCAGGCAGCGATAATCGCTCAGAAGTACAACGTTGTCAACAGTAATCTATCAATTATCACAGCACCTCTCGAGCAGCCGTCGATCTCCGCGTGGCACTTCATCTCCCCCACGCTGCCAGGCAGCTCCTTTCCCCCGGCTCGCCGCCGTGTGTGTGTGTGTGGGTGTGTGTGTGTGTGGGTGTGTTTGCTGCACAAGACCCCTGCTTTTTTTTTCATCTTGAGTTTCAACATAACCAGCACATAACTTCCTCATTGCCCTGTACATCCAACGTTTAATCTGCTTCGCTTTCTTTTTATACAAAACAAAATGTGTAGGATCCAGCAACATAAGCACTATGTATCAATCCTTCAGCTTTCAGGTTTAGACAAATGTTGAAAATTTCGCTTTTATCAAAAATCTTACATTAAAATGTCTTTTTCTTACGACTTTCGGTTTGTCTTTTTTGTGTAAACCAAGGTAAACCATTGGGCCAGTTCGCCAATTCCCATTTTCTTGACTCCTTCCTGTTTGTTTTTTGTTTGTAACTTTGTCAGATTTGTTTCTGATAGCATCATGACTACTTCCCACTCTGTCCCAGAAGAGTGCCACAGATTACGCAGCGATATGAAGTACAAATAAAAAATTAAAATTGTCAGCACAGATATCGGTGGTAGTACAGAATAGACTGGAGCCTGTAAGATCAGAGAATACAGTGCCTTTAACTATGGAGTCTTAATTCATTGAAAGGCTCTGTTGTCAGCTAACGACTCCAGATCTGATACCGACATGGCACAACTCATGTAGATGTCAGAAAAAAAAACAGGCAAAAAAAGCTGGGGAGAGGATTTGAGGGCAAACAGGGGAAAGGTTACTCAACAAGAGTCACCGTGTTCATCTCTTGCAGCTTTGGAGATTCCTTACAGTCTTGCACTAGTGGTTCATTCTTAAATTTTTAATATTTATTTTCAGTTTAATTCTTTTCTTGTTGGGGTGGTGGATAAAATGTGCTATTCTCTTTATTTTATTTTTTTCTGCTGCTGCTCCAAGTATCAGTTGTAATACTCGCCCCACTCTCGGCTAACAAGTTCAGGATCTTATTTTATTCTGTTTACCTTCGCAGTTGAAAGGTTACATTGCGCATTCCGTTTATTTAAACTTTAATATGCGTTTTCTCTTTTTTCCCTGGTAGTTTGCTGTGGGCAGGTTCTGAAGTCAGCGGTTGCAGACGAAACGAGTCTTGGAGAACTCATTAAAACATACCTGGAATCTGGACAGCAAGGTACAGTGATGTCTGACTGGAGCTTTACACTCCAGGGAGATGCCTCTGAGAAAAGTGTGTACACCAGTAAGGAGTAGAGAAAATTGGTCAGTTCTGAGCAACACAAGGCCACAGGTGTTTAATATGCCAACATTTATCCGATATAACTCTGTATATAATAGCCTGCATATGCTCTCTCAATGTACAGTATATTGAGTCCTCCCCAGTACATACTGGTAGAAAAATCATATTAATTTTTTAATTAAAAGCACTAATTTATTTTGCATTAGCTCGATTTCACAAGTGTTTGTGATGATTACATGGCCCTATATAAAGTCTTCAGAAAGATCTAACCCTCGCAGTTTTCAGTCCATTTGTATTTCACTTTTGTTCTCCATTCTTGTTCAGTAGGCCAAAAGCTCAAAAAAACAAACTTACCCTGGGAGACAGTCCAGTTTTTAACAGCATCTTTATTATCTGCTTTTTTTTCCAGCAAAGAGTCTTTATCTTCTATTCTTTTTCTAATAACACTCACTCAACATTTTTGTCTGGGGCTGTTATTTGTTACTTTAGATTTTTAGGTTTCTGTGTAGTTTATGGCTTTGTCTCCTATAGAAAATGACTTTTTTGGAACAGTTTACTTTTCACAGGTTTTACAGTATTGTTTTCTTCTGATCTCTTTAATAGGCAAAATTTTGTCTTTTGGATATAACAAGAAGTGGTGATGATTAAAAACACAGCTTCAGTGAAATAATAAATGAGATGGTATATTTCTGCACATGGACATGTGCATTAAGCAAATGTTTTTGTTCCTTGGATGTTGTGTGAAATGTGCATATATTCTCAAGATGGTCATGTGAATTATGGCCCACACTAATCTGATTTTTTACTCGTGTGTTCAGACAGCCAAGTCATTCTGAATTGCTTTTTCCCCTCATTTTAAAGCTTTGTTTTGTGCAGGCAGATTTTAATCAGAAAAGAGAAAACCTTAACACTACCGTACACTGAACCAAAAGACATTTATGAGTGTAGATGGAAGATGTTCACTGTTGTCAAAACAATCCCTTTGTATTTTTTCAACATTAATAATGGTCTGGAAAAGCCATCCCACCAATAAGCACAATGTAGTCAAGCAAATTGTGACTGGGCTGTTTATTTACACTCAACACGGACAATTAGTGACTGCAACAGCAAAGGTCTCTAGAGTTTCTATTTTAGGCTCAGAACTTTATCTTATTGTCTTTGTCATGAATCTACCGAAGAGCTCAGTTCCAGTGTGTGCTTTAAAAGCAGATGTGCTCAAAAGGGAAGTACTGTGTTCCTGAATGCCACAGTTATCCTATTTGAAATAATTCTTAATTCCCTTGGCCTTAAAGTGCTTCAGAACCCCAATAATTCACAGTAATATTTTACTTGAAAGCAGGCAAGCAGTGAAGCTTTCAGTTTACAAGCAATTAATGCAAAGAACACTAATGTTGCTGGTCACAACTGGTGTACAGCTATTCCTTGGAGTGAGCCTGCATTCTTCGGTGCCCCATTTTCCAGCAGTTTGGTGCTTTTAACATCACAGTCGAAATGTAAACAGCGTCACAGGGGGTCAAAATCTTTAAGTGTCCATTGGGATGGGAGCATGTGACTGAGTCTCCATCTTGATGAAATAATAATGAACAGCTTCGGTGTGGCTGCAATTTGCACATGAAAATCAAATCCTTTCGCATTTTTCCATTTAATCTGAGGGTGATGACAATTCCTCGTCTCAGTTTACATGCAAATTACTTTGTCAAGTCTTCCCTATGAGACTCGCAAGTCTAGAGTTTTTTTTCTTTGTTTTGTTTTTGTTTGTTTGTTTTTGTTTTGTTTATTTTTTAAACAAATCTTTTTTGTACTACTGACGTGTGTGCGTTTGGGTTTTTTTTTGGGTTAAAGGAAAAAATGTTCTTTTTGCTTCTAACACAATTCTCCCTAGTAAGTATCTAGAGCGTCTGGGGTGTGAAGTTTTGTAATGGCACAACTTTTTTGTAGAGATAATATCTGGAAAGTCACATAGCTGTGATGCTAAAGCAAACCTCTACTTCTAACATGTAGTTTCTCTAGGTACAAGATTGCGCTGCCTTATAGTTTTTTTTTAAATGAAACAAAGCCTCTTCTCCATGAAGACTGTTACATGGACAAGACTCCTTTTTCCTCTTAGCTCTGACTGCTAGAATGCACTCACTTCCTCCTGTTCGCTCGGTTTCGAACCTGCACCCAGTCCTTCAGGTCTAGCCATCCTTCCCACTGTCTTAGTGTAGCTTAGCTGAAGGCACTGGAGTCTCATACCCTCCTAGCCACTAGCCCATGTTGCCTCTGCTTCGCGTGAGCTCCAGACTGGGGTCCGGATTGTCGCACTCTGTTGCCACACCGCTGTCCTCCCAGTTCTGCTGCTTCCTGCCCAGATCGGAGCTGCTGTACCTCCCAGACCTGTCGGCTGCGATCTGTAATCTGCCTCATTTGAAAGTGGCATCCCTGACTGCAGGTCTCAGTCACGACCAGTTAGTTAAGGAAATGCGCCCACTTCAGAGACCGCGCGCGGCGGTGGGTGCCAATCACCGAGGCACAGAGGGGCTGCCGCTGCGCCACTTGCCTTAAGCAAGTTTTTATTAATTTAATAAACATCCCGCCGAGACCAGTGGCTCTGCGGTGTGTGCAAGGATTTGCCGGCGATGCATGCTGAGTTCAAGTCTAATGAGAGGTGCGCAGAAAATCTCTGCACTGAGCACCTGAAGGGCCCCCCAGCCCCGATCGCACTGACTGTCAACACTACCGTAGCGCTGAGGTTGTGGCAGGCTAGTAGCATGAGCAAGGAGAAGTCTTCACTTTAAACAGTTTCTGTCCGGTAGACTCTGGAGGGGACATTTAAATGAGGCCCTGTTTGATTTTGAAGTCTTCCTGCCTTTCTTGAAATGTTATTACATTCAAGGCACCGTGTCCCAATATTACGGCAAGTGGAAAGCTAATCCAGTAGGAATTACCTGCCTTACAAAAATAATAATGATCTCTCCTTTAGTTTTTTTTCTTGCTCTACTTTTAACACGGATACTCACTGAGATTGAAATTGTTAACGGGGCTGAATGCCTCCTAACCGAAGTGTGGTTGGAGCCCCTGAATTAAACAGCACTGAGATTTAGAATGCTAAAAACAAAATACTTTAACTGTGGAATGTCTTGACAAGTGTCAAACGTGTCGGAATCCTAAAACTCCATTCCTAAAATAAGAACGAATCTTTATTTCATTTAAATACACCCGCACAAATTCCAGTTTGTCTCATTTGAGTTTGCAACGAAACTTATGCATAAAAACAAGGTTCTGGAGCTCTGCCTTGTCTGAATGCTGGAGCTCGGTGGTCCTGGGGGAGCTACTAGTAGTGTTTGCAGACCCTTCTCTCCCTCTCGCTCTCTCTCTCTTTCTCTCCCTCTCCCTCCCTCCCTCTCCCTCTCTCCCAGTGTCAGTGCAAGCTGCAGGCAGAGAAGCTCTCCGCCTTAAATAATTTACAAGTTGATTAATAGACTCACAAGGGTATAATTAGGCAAGGGAGAGACGACGGCTAGTGTAACCAGTACAGTGCTTAAGGGAATTAGAGACCAGGATTATTAAGGAAATAAAAAAAATAGTGTTCTAAAAGAGGGGGGCAGAAAACCCTTTTCCAGTGCTGCTCGGCGTTTGAAGCAGTTTCTCCAGGAGCAGGAAGCCCCAGCTCTTTTGAAGTGGAAATTGGACAGTTTGAATCCGTCGACTTTAATTTTTCACAAGCTTCAGGGACCCCCTGGGTGCAGCTCACTTTCCTTATTGAAAATAAATTCCTTTCTCTTTCTCTTTCTCTCGCCTTTCTTTCGTTTAAATTTCCCCTCTTTAAAGAAGTGCAGTTTCACATCCTCTTTATGACATTTTCATTAACATAAACAATTCACTTACTTTGCCTGTAAGGTTGGAGATGGCTGTTTTTGTATTCCGCATGAGTTGTGTATTCCTGTGTTACATAGGCACCAGGAAAAGTCTATAATACATTCTTATAAGGAAGAATTCCAGCATTGTTAGTTTAGTGCCCCGAGTTCTTGATAACTAGACATAATTTGAAAAATAAAGCAAAGGTATGTCTAAACAAAACTTGTGGCTCTGTTCGCTTATATCTGGCTGGTGTTCATGTCAGGTGATTTAGTTCTGAATCTCTGCATTATTCCAACTGAGCTCATCTGTGAGCTGTTTTCTTCAGCCCCTTACCTCTCATTTTATTACTGTTAAGACACCTGTGCTTTTGAGCCCTCTCCTTTACAGTGCAGCAGCTAAGATGGTAATCGCATAACCAGACAAGCCAATTCACCTATAGATCTGAAGTAGGCTGTTCTTGTGCTCCTTTGCCTGTATATTTGCTTGTTGAGTTTAAATTCATCACTGTCTGTTCTTTATATTTCTCGTATCTGTCTTAGGTGTTAAGCCAAAATCAAAATAACAGGTTTGTCTGCTCACACAATCTGCCATTAATTGAATTTTTATTTCTTCAACCAGTGCCTTAAGACCTCAAAGTACTCCACTTTGTATTCATCTCTGATGCATTGTATCATTCAGACCAAGGATGTAGATGCACTGTAGTGTTAAGCGGAGAAAGAACTTGCTGGAAAATTTGTTGACTTGTGTGCTACCATATTATTCAAAGCAGTTTGCCTTTTAAATGGTCTTATAATTTAAATCTTATCGTCAGTTCGCCACTAGATGGCGATGGAGGTGGTAATAACCCTTGCGTAGATTTATTTTTAGTCTGTGAAAGCCTACAGTATGTGTGTCCCACAAAGGGCAGCACTTGACGTAGTTTGACATTTCCGGTAGCAAGGCAGCATGATGTGGTATCAGTGGTAATGAGGGGTGTCAAACTGGTGCCTGAGGACTGTTTGAAGTCCGTCAAGCAAGAGACTCGCACCATTCCTAAACCATCTCTCTTCACCCAATACTAACAGATAGTCGCAGACACCCAAAGTTCTCTACATGCTGTACATTTTTCTAAGGAAAGGCAACTGAGTTGCATGGAGTGTGTATAGAAATTGACACCTTTTTTAATTTAGGAGACTTGATTTCTGCAGACATTTCTTCAGTGAAACCAATTAGATGGTTCTGAACACACCACATGTATATGGTGTTATTCTCACTCATGAGCCTGTGCTCAAAGTACTGTACGTCTTTGGGTTTGAGCAGCTCTTTGCTTGTTCTTTTTCAGTGGGACTTTAGGCAGGAGTTTGGAATCGGTGTCATTCCCTTTCAGTCACCTGTACTGACCACATGTTCCTCTGGTTTCCAGTGCCCGACAGTGTGGTTGTGAAGATCCTGACGGAGCGGCTCAGCCGGCTGGACTGTACCACCCGCGGCTGGATCCTCCATGGATTCCCCCGCGACTTGGAACAGGCCGAGAAGCTCCACGAGGCGGGCTTCGTCCCGAACAGGTGCCTCCAAACTCTGCATCCACATGGAAAAGTCACAGTTTATGGATATGGTCGCCTATTCTTGAGTTAGAGGATAAGACCTTACAAATTAATATTACATTTCTCCTTAGATGATTGTGACTAACAAGTAATCACAACTGGCTGACTAAAGACATTTGGGACTGTGCCATTTCAAAACTCTGTATAGGACGTATTCCTCGAAAAGCCCTATATATCAGAAAAGTGTCCGTATCTTTTGCCATATTTTAAATATCTACTTTGATTGAATGGCAGTCTTCTAAGGAAATATCACCATGAATAATTTTGATTAGGTCCGTGCAAATCTTTGAGTACCTCTTCAATCTGTGAGGATTAAAAAAAGTTCCACTCCTATATGAAATTCCTTATCATCCAATTTCATAACATATATTCCTGTAGATTATTACAATAAAGTCTAAAAACATATATAGCCCACTGCTATTAAACAATGTATTGCTGGTATGTACATGTGAACCAGTTAAGCCAGATGGATGTCCAGGATGGCACAGACATGTTTTATAAAAGGTAGACTGCTGTTGAAATGGATTAAAATCAAGCAATCTGATCATTGAAATGCATGACATAGGAATTGTTAGCCACGGTTATGCACAAAACACTTTCATCCACAGCAGGAATAGCACAAAAGTAATCAACTGGCACTGCTGTAAGTGTGGCCCCTCATAGAGAAGTTCTTCTAGGCTGCCTTTATGACATTTGCAATAAGAACAGAAAATGCAAAAGCAGTAAAATACACTGCTTGATAATAACTTCGCTTGATTACTGAGTTACATTTAATAGACCTTTTTCAAGGGCACAGAGGAACAGTGAGACAACCTCCGCTACAGTTGATATGTTAACAGAGGTGTCATTTTGGTCATGCATTCTGTATTCAAACAAAATCCTTTTCTCAAGTTCGGCAAATCTTTGGTTCTCGTTACAGTGTTATTGCTCTTAAAGTTTTGCTTTCTCTAGAAATGTGAAACATCAGTCGCAGATAGATCCTTTTGCAACTGTTCTCAATCTTTAACTCGTTAGAGGATGTACCCAGCATCAGATCAAAGGAAAACCAACATCTTTTTTCTTTTTTTTTTTAATATGTAGATGGCTACAGGCAGTTTATTCACAGCATAAAGTGTTTGATAGGGAAGGACACTCCTGCAGCCACAATGTGAACCTGGGGAATTAAACTAGTAAAGCAGTCTGATGATCCTGTGCCAGCTTTAATTGGTTTCTTGGTAAATATGGAATTAAGATCCAGTGGGAATCCTGAGGTGTACTTACAAGAAAAACACACACAAAAACAGCAGCAATAGCAAATAATGATGGTAAGAAAGCTGTTTTATCAGAGAACTGGAATTTTCCTCAATTCACCCTTTCAAAGAGCTACTCTTCAGGCCTTCAGTGCTACAGTAGTAAAATCTGTCAGGGAGAAAACGAGAGAGAGAAGACATTAACACAGCGATCGGGGCTTATTTTCTTTATAATTTTAGTATGTCTTGTAAGAGGACCACTGGGGAATGAGTACAGAAAAAAATATTTAAAGCCCAAGAGTATGGAAAAATGTCATCACTGTCTTTTTTTAAATTCTGGATGCTATTTTCTTGGGATTTAGGCAGAAGTTACCAAAGGCTGACAAAATATTCCAACAGCAGCCATCAGGAATAATAAGGCCAAGCACTTGTTCCAGCTCTCCCAAACATTTGTGTAAAACGTGCCTCTGGTTCAACGACATTCATTGGATTTTAATTTTAGTACATGTTTCATTCTTGGAATTTAGAGTCATTGATCTGTATTTGGATCAGTAAACACATGCGTACTTGTTATGGCTGAAGACAGAGGATCATCTATATTAAAGGTCTTGTCCAGTGTGTACCATGGTCAAGACTGTAATTAGGTTCTGTTAATGGTCCTGGGGTAGTGCCTGTCGGGTGGAGGAGCTGACGGAGAGGAGCAGCCAGGCGGAGTGAGTAAATGCTGCTCGTAGGTGGTACTGGAGAGTTGTCCTCTGTGGATTGGGGAGGGAGAAACTATGTGCCTGTCAGAGGAGAGCTGGAGACTGTCGTGAGCAGGAGAGGGCACAGGGGGTTAATTACTCCATTACTGGAAGGCTCAGCCAGGAGCTGTTTAAACAGGGTGGTGTGAGCTGGGGATTAGTTCTCATTACTCCAGCTAAAGGAATGCCAGCGACCCTCCGAGCTGCCATTTACAGGGAGTTTGTTATGCGTGCAGGAGAATATTCATATAGCGCAGTGATGAGGAGCTGGACCACAGGGCAGGGAGGGGAGAATCTTCGGCTTAACTCTGCGGATCTACATTATCACCTGAGCCGCACCGGGCTGCAATTATCCCAAATACCTGAGTACAGGTAGAGTCAGATCGCTGGCTCAGATTACCCTAAACTGTATGAGCTCCAATGAGATCTGATCACACTAAGATTATCTGGAGCACTGGTTATGGACGAGGCGATGCGTCAGCTCAGCTGGGTGGAAATCAGGGTGAGGACATCGGTGAAATGGGTTTGCTGGTGATATAACGTTATTTGTCCCAGGCTGTTATTGCTCAGGGACTTTTATATTTTCTTACCCTAATTTTTACACTCTGTCCATTATTAGCAAGAGCTACAGGACCCACTTCAGGGACCTATTCATAAATTAATTACCAGATTTTATTACATTACTTAGCTGTTGATATGTATTGCATATATTTTCTGCCACTTATATTTTGCCTTGTTTTTGTAATGATGGTTTTTCACTTTTTGCCCAATGAACTGTCACCTTTTGTCCAATGGCAAGCATGTGTTTTACAATGGTAATGTTAATCATCGTCAGTCAGTTCCTATTTCATTTTTTGATCGCCTCACATTTGGGAGTTTTGGACACAGTAAGCGCCGTACGTTTACCTCCTGCCTTCCAGCAGTCCCGTGTCTCATCTTACACGATAAGCAGCGCGCCAGGTTCGTATGTCTCCGGACACTCCTGCTCGGTTAAACCTCTGACTTAGACGTTGCTTTCGTATGTGGGAAGGTCTGACGTGGTGACTTATCCTCACTCATCACCACAGATCTAAATTGCACACTTTTTACTGAAGGGTTAATGAGCCTTGAGGAAAGAGGAAGCACAGTGACTTGGTAGGCTTTTCAGATTCACCCTTCTCACTCCTCTAAGGCCTGGGCTTAAAACATACTTACAGGCTAAGCTTACATAACGTCCTTCTTATGTTGCCTGTGCTCTTTGGAGAGACATAAGGAACTGGATTGACCAGAAGCTTTATGGTGCACAATAAATGACAAAATGTGAGGCTCAAATCCCCAGCCAGTTCTGAGTTCTAATGTAATGCACATTGGAGAATCTGATTATTTAAGAACTCGTCATACTTCCTTGCTATGCCTATCAACTTGAGAGCTCAGGTTCTCCAAATAGTGGCTGGCTTGCATAATAAGCAGATTTTTTCATTGCTATTCTTGAAACTCAGAGCTGCAGAAAAAAAAAAAATACATTTTGAACTACAAACATGATGCATAACCTGTGTGCTCTGCAGATGAATGTAGGATAACTGCTGAGGTCCCAAGCTATCACGAGAGGCTGGATACAGCACACACACTGACATCCCTGGGGCTGAAATATTATTGATAAGAATCCAATTATATTTGCGGAAAACATCTGATTTTGAAGACATCAGGCTGGTATGTGATTCTTTCAAACTTTAAACAGGACTTCCATTATATCATTCAGGAAAAATCAATAGTGCCAGCTGAATCATGCAGTGGTGAGCGTAGCCACATTAATATTGAAAGGGTGCGAGTTCGATCTGTGTCTGGGATTGGCTCGGCTTCACTGCTCTAATAACACAGAGTCACATCAAGACAGAAGGTTTTGGAGAGGTTTGGGGCATTTTCATTGTGGAATAGCAAAGAAGCAGCAGTGTCTAGTGAATGGCCAAGGGAAATATTTGGAAAGAAAAATGCCATTTTGCAAAGTCGGCCAGTGTGAAACCATTTTCTGTAGACAGGCCTCAAATGCAATGATTTTAAAACCCTAGATCAAGGTTTAGATGTCATTCAGAACTTTAAGTTTAATAAGTTCTATTACGTGTGGATGCTGTTGTTTTTTGCAATATTTTCCCTTAGTGTATTTTGTAATCTACCTTGCTTTAAGCGTACGTGTAACCTAGATGGTCACTCATCCCATTTGGTGTTGTGTGTGACCCAAAAACTCTTTATTTTATTAACAATAATTAGAAATGTAGAACTAATAGCAGAAATCAAGTCTAATTGCCCTCTAGAAAGGCCCAATTATACCATTAACATCCCCTAGTGTGGCGCTAATGGCGGGAGACCTCATTTGCATAGCATTAGCTTAATTGAGCCGGAGGCCTGTGGTCGGTTTGCACTAAACAATGGAGAGATAATGTTACTGATGGTCGGGTGGCAGCTATTTACCTGACAGCTTTATTAATTAACAGCTATCTAGTTACTTGGACTTTAAAACAGATAAATAAGTCAATGACACGGAGGTGTGCCAGCACATCTGATTTAATGGGGCATGCTTCAGGGGCACAATGCGGAGCTGGCATGCATAGCTGTCAGCAAAGATCCCTTTATCCACTCCAAAGGCCTCTGTAACTTGCCTAATTGTATGCCTTTCATATTCTTCACACAAAAGAAGCTATTATCCCCAGTCGTTAAAAATGGAGAGTTGCTGGTTTTACTTGCTTGAATGAGTGGAAGGTTGTCAGCTCACCGAGTCCGGCTTTCTCGACACAGCAGCTCTTGACCATGTGCGTCTCCCTGGTTTTCTCCCTGATTTCAGGTATACTTTATCCATAAGCTGAGTTCTGTAGAACAGGCCTAAGAGCTACAGTGTTTCTGGCAGTGTCTTAGCAGCCTAAGGAATGAAGTCAGTCCCAGTGCTGTGGAGCTGGGTTACTGTATGGGAAGTGTAGTGTTTAATATAACATGCTCAGACAATAACAATAATATATAGTTCTGAAGATCCAGATTTTTCTCGGGGAAAAAGATCTGTTTCTTACAATTCAGATGCCTCTTCAGCAGTTTTACACAGTATGGTTTTACTCTGAACCCAGTCCTGAACTCTTAAACCAGTCCAGCTGATATTGCCTCACCTCCAGCTGTGGCCTCCCCACATTTCTAATGTTTCCTATATTCTTAAGACTAAAACCATTGGGTGTTGCTTCCAGTGACGTTACTGTTGATGTTGTTAAAGTGCGCGGCCGGCCTGGGTTGCGAGGCGGGCGTTTGCAGGGATTACTGGAAACGGAAGGAGAGCTACCCTAGCCTGCGCTCTTCTCCAGGCTAGGGAGAGAAACACGCCTTGGGTAGATGAATCTCGTGTGGCCACAGTAACCATGGCCATACTAAGGCTCTGGTACTGTCACCCTGGAAGCTGTAGGCTGAGGTTCATCCATGTGGGTTTTAGATTGGCATGACCCGTGGACTGTGTAAGAATACATTGTGAATAATGAAACTAATGGGCACTCCTCGGTGTGAAATTTGAATTTGCGTGGAATAACACAGTCTGGTATTCAAAAGAATAAAACAATAAAAGAAGTCTTATGTTTTTAAGACTGGTACCCTGGTGTTTCCTTTCCAAGCCCGTCTTTCTGAAATGGGCTTCTTCTCAGTAGGTGGTCTGTACTCCTCATCCTATAACCCCGTGCTTCCAAAAACACGGTTTTATTAAAAATACGTTTTCTCCCTATGATGAGGATTTCTTTTGACTGCACGCAGAGGCTTTGAATGTGGTTTTGAATAATATAAATTAAACAGGTAGTTAGAGCAGGAGCCCCTTTGTTATGGAAAAGCTGCCACTTGATCCTATGAAAGAAAAAAGAAAACAGCGCTTCAGCTAAACTCCCATCAGATAATTAAAGATGCCGTTGCTCTTGTTTCCTTCTTTGCATACCTGTCTGATCCCCTTTCACAAGCTGATCAATCATTCGGTGATATAACTCTCTGAGCTCTGATTGGTCCAAAAGATTCAGGCTTAATCTCTCTGGCCTTGCAAGATATGGTGCGAGTCATTTCCTAATGACACCTTTACTTTCAGACTGGGAGAGCTTCCAGAGCCCGAGCAGACGTGTCAGGGTGCCAGAGGGACAGGTGACGATGCTGGGGTCGGTGGGGACAGGGAGGATTGAGCCAGTAAACCTGGAAGGATTGTCTTTCTCTTCGCACTGCCTTGTTAAAGGAGCAGAGAACTAGGAGCTGTGTTGTTTAAACACATATGTGCTTCAACGTGCAGTCAGTGCAGATTCATTTCTATACCGGATGTTTGAAAGGACAGCAAAAGAATATGAGCTACACAGGTTTCAGTACTTAGCTGGTTTGGGTCTTGTACTCAATTACCATTGTGTTCACAATGATCAAATTATCCGTCATTAAATCCGGTTTGGAATGTCCTGATTTTGTAGGACATGTGTCAGAATGCTTCTCCCAAGACTGTATTTGCATATTCTAATTGAGGTGCTGTATAAACTGTGTAAGATTATATAATGTTATGTTTTTGTTCAGCCCATAACTCCTTTGACATTTTGACCGTTCAGGAGTTCACCTCATAACAGCAATGAGGTGACACTGAGAATGCGCTACACATGTAACATAAGCGGAGATAAAATACCATCAGGGAGTGAACAGTTTCTGTAACCCTGACCCTGTGCATGCCCTGCGTTTCCTCCGCTCTGCTCTCTCCCAGGTCCTGCATGCTCAGCATTGCCTGAGCTGTTGCCCAGTACCCCTCACCTCTCCCCTCCCACCCACCTCTCCCACCACCTCCACAGCCAGTCTTTAACTACACTCCAGTTTGGCCAGGAGTCTGCTTGTTACAGCCTCTACACGAGTGCAAACAATCGAAGTCTTTGAGAACAATGAAATATGCATGGCTATCCGTGACGGGCAGATAAAGTAGAGCAATTAGCCACATAATCCTAGAGAGCTCTGGGCAGTCATCAGCCACGGCCTCCCCCTGCTTGCTCTCGTTCTCCCTCTCTCTGTCTCGGTACTCTCTTGCTCTCTATTAGTTAAATGTATTTTGTGTGTCCGCATCCCATCAAATCAAGCAACACTTCCTCTAATTGGCTTATAAATAATACAGCTGGGCCTGCATTATAATTTAATCAGTGGTAAACATTGCAGGGGCTGTCTGTAAAGAATCTATCTCTCATTAATTTCTTAATTTCGGGAGATGGAACGGGAGGGTGGGGGTGAAGCAGGAGATCGGATGAACGGAGCCACAAGCACTTCGGGCTGAGAAGGAGGGACAGTCGGAAAGGAGAATAAAGCCGGGAAGATGCTGCTAGCTTTTGTTAATGGATGTCAGAAATCCAATCCAAGAGTTTTGTCAGGAGCGCTGGCTCAATGAATTCAAGAGTGCCCCCCAGCCTCCCACCTCTTCCTCTCCCTAAAAAATGCTAAAATGACAGACAGCCGCTTGTTGGCACTTGTCATTTGTCTGAAAACATCAAGCTGTTGGGTAAACAGCATCCAGTGTAAATTAATTCTCTTCTTGCGACCCCCCCCCAGCTCCCCCCCCCATATCCCTTTTTCAACCAAGTTTATGAATATTTCATAATGAGAGGCATAAATATTAATTCTAATAGCTTTGCACAGTAGTTATTATTTCTTTTTCATGACAAATATTCATTAAAAATTCAGGATACCCTTACCCCTTCACATAATCATACACAAGAGCACCTGCACCACCTAGATACACAGCCGTTTTTTCGAGGAAGGTAATGTTAACGATGACGCTACCTCATCCGGACCCTTTCCATGCCCTCTCCCTCTCACTTGTGTAATTATTCAAAGGTGTCTTGATGTATTAGTTCAGTAAAAAGACAGACAGGCAGACCAGTGTGTACAAAGAAAGAATGGAGAGGAGCAGGCTTTCATTAAAGAAAAAAAAATCTCTTTGGTGTAGAAACCTCCAGTGGCTCGCAGAAGAGCTTTCTCAAGAGAAAGGGCCAGAGAGATCTTGCCAGACCTGTGATTTCTTTTTTTTTTTTCATTTCAAGTTGATTGATCATAATTTTCCTTTTAAGAAAAAAATGAAAAGAGCTTAATAGCCTGTGATGAATTACTTCTTTCAAGCAGCACACAAGATCTGATTGACCAGGAATATAAATGTCAAAACTGGGCCAAGAATAGAGCTGCTCTTGGTGTGCTTTTGATTGTTTTTAAAATTGTATAAAGTCACGCTTGCAGTCAAGAGTATATGAATAGGCTTTAGTCGATTAGAGTATGCTATTGATGGGTTTATGTCCTCCTGCCTATATTTTATATCACATACTCAGTATTACAGTATTCATTCCCCCAAAAAAAGTCATTGTGAAGATAGGCTCCAAGATGTTTAAATTGATACTTATGTCATACTTTAATCAGGAGGTTCTGTCAAAACCAAGAGAGTCAAAACTTGTTAGAGACCAAGCATTCTGCCAACATCTTCTCTCAAGTGAAAAATGAAACTGTCTTCTCAAAGATTTTGATTTCAGAAACTCGAAGCACTCCCACACTGCAGTACATATTAAATATCTTTATTAGGGAAGATGATACTTGTTCTTACTTGACGTCTTTGTCTGGGGAAATCTTCAGATTTTTTTAGAATAGGAAAACATTAACTGGCAGTCCTGTCAGTGCAGTACTGAGATGGCTCCCCGAAAGGCATTTCTCTTGATGGTTACTGTAAACAAATTGCAGATAGAAGAGGCCAAAAAGCTCCATTGTAATTCTGCATTTCATCCTGCTCTCGTGAGTGATGTTCAGTGCATTTATGCACCACGTATATCAAAATAGGTTCCCAAGCAGTTCAGCCAGTGCTCAGAGAGCAGGTTGACCCCTGTGGTCATAGTGCTGGTCCAAGCTTGGACTGTGCTGTTAGCTGACTTGCACGGTGATTCTCCAAGTGATGGCACACCAGGGCTCGCTTGGCTTGGCTTGGCTTGCCACACAATAGTGACCCTGGGACTTGCTGGATTCCTGCTGTCCTGCATTGTTGTGAGTAAGAGACATACTGTAGCTACTTCACCCTTTGCAATCTCTTCTGTAAGGTGCTATGGTCTTGTAGCACATCAAAGGATGAAATGGCACCAACCAGTGAGAGCAGGTCCTCCTTTTCTCTAGCTTAGAGGCTGTATAGTAAGCAGAGTTGATACACTCTGAATGAAGAATTCGCTGATCGTTTATGACCTAAAAATATAATTGGTAAGTCCACATATGGAGAAAAAAGGAAAGCTTATCCTTTAGGTTTTAGCTGCTATTTTCCTTCGTAATAGTCTCATAACGAAGAGAAATCAATTGTCAAATAAATAAATGTGAATAAATTTACAGCAGATTGTATTCTTAACTCTGCCACATTAATGTCTTTTTATGCATACACACAGTATAAACCTAACAGCTATACTGTTAAGTATAGCTTGTGGGTGGTTTATAAAATGTTGTTCTGCCTTCTGATTGATGCTGATCATTGTCCATCTCTCAATCTTTCTTTCAGGGTGTTTTTTTTGGAAATACCTAATGATGTTGCCATTGAGCGAATCACTCTGAGAGCAGTTGATCCAGTTACAGGGGAGAGGTCAGTAAGAACTCTTAACAGGACTTTTTTTTACTTCTAGAATGTATGCTTTTTGTTATTTATTTTAAGCGCTTCAAATTTATTTTTTTTATCTTTAGATCTTTTGGATAAGAGGTTTTGCAATTAAATGACTTCAGTTACAGTTGGAGTTGGCCTTTGGAATAATCCTGTAATTCACTTTACTTACCCGTGTTCTTGTCAGTAAGAATTAGAGCAATATTAGCTGAGTGCAGGTAATTGATAAAGATAAAACTCCTGATGAAGTTTTTCAGTGATTGACAACAGTGAACAGTGAACAATTCTACTGTGACTGTTTGTATCCTGTGTGTTGCAGCCATTAGCATCTATGGCATGTGTTTAATATGGTAAATTTAAGAAACACCTGACCAACTAACCCAAAGTAATAAAACTAAATGTGTTACTGATATGCTGAATCACCTTCAGCTGAAGCCAACAAGTTACACAGCACCACTCTAAACCCCCCACTGGCAACCTGGAATCAAGATGGAGCAAGGTGGCCAATTTTGCGACAGCAATCCACACATTATTGACCATAGGAACAGCTTGAAAAAGGGTAGTAGCAGAAAGAAACGGTTCACATCTAACTACGTCTTTAGAATGTTGAATGAGTACAAGTATTTCCTGAAGATCGCCATGACAGCGCAGAAAGCTGCACTCCGAGCTCATGCTCCTCGACCCCAGCGGATCTTTGCGTTTGACTGTCCGCAGATACCATTCCGTCTACAAGGCCCCCCCCGGCCCGCCGGTCCAGAGCAGGCTGCAGTGGAACCCCCGCGACTCCGAGGAGGGGCTCCTGCAGAGCCTGGCGGAGTGCAGAGCCCACGCCCCCGACCTGCAGGACTTCTACCCTCACACAGTCCACATCAACGCCGACCAGGACCCCCACGCCGTCTTCGAGTCGCTGGAGAGCCGCCTGGTCAACCGCCTGCCCAGGTACCTCCCTGCCTCGGCTCTGCCCGAGCCCCCACACTGAGGACAGCAGGGGCGCGACGCAGGACGTACCCTGGGCTGTGGCTGTGCTGCGTCACTTGCTTTTAAATACCTTTATTCTTCCATCACCATGTAGTCACTTTAGTGCAATTCGACAAACCCATTCAGCCAAAATATCAGAGACTTGCTTAGTGGCATTTCATGCCTGGTTTGCTGAAGGAGCAGCAGTCCCCTGATCGGAGTCTGCCTGGAGCAGTGTAACCTCCACTGCAGTCCCTCCTACCATTATCCTCAATGTGATCTCAGACGAAGGCGGTCCTGCTGGAAGACTGGGATTGGGATGCAAAAATTGTGGAGTATACGTCACGCCCTCATCAAGCCAGTATGTTCCTGATATTGTGGCCAGTAAATGTAGTCTACACCTCTTCACAAACCTAAGGTGTCGAGTGTGGCACATAAAAACGAATATTTCTACTCCTTTGCTAGCCTTCAAGTGTACCATAAGCATCTTAATAAAAATGTAACACTTTTAAAGAATTTATTTAATGCACAAACTATATTCTTAAAACACTTTGCCTTACTCTTATATGAAATGCTGTATTGTACACGTGTTATATAAATACTCCAACGAGCCTTTGGACACTTCTTTCACAATTTTTACAAGGGACACTTTTTACTGCTGGCTCACCCGATATCAGCTAACCTAGCTTCGCCATTGTTTCGTTGCTACTCAGCATGGCGTTGCTCTCCCCCTCACACATCTTAGTGAAATGTCTTCCTCCTATCAGATTTAATGAAATATCTTGAACAACCACTTAACTGGTAGCTCAGGGATAGCCAGCAACGTAACCCAGAACAACAGGCTGCGTAGCGAGATGTAAGTGTGTTCACGTCGTCCCGAGATCCCAACATGACAGCAACTGAACCTCCTCTTAGAGCCCGCGGCTCCTCAGCAGGATGTCAATTTCTGACCCCAAGGACAGGCCACTGCCCTCACCCGATACCCATGCTGCTCTCCCATCCTCATGGCCAGACAGGCACCCCCCCCCTCCCCTCTTGCCTGAACAGAACCCTAGTTAATTAGAAGTTTGTTTAATTAATGTAGCAGTAAAACGCAGGCTGCTCCTGCCCTGTGTGGCGATGTATTAGTTCTGCTCCAGCAGCCCCATACACAGGAGCACTGATTACTGACATCTCCAGCACTCCGGTACACGTAATTGTGGGTCACTGCCCGTCTCCCACCGGGCTGGAAGAGTTAGGTTTAATGGTTAGAGGAACATGTTAACAGCCTTCTTTAAAAACTCCCTTTAGATGAGGCGACGATGAGCCAAGGCTGACTTAATTACCGCAGATGAATTTGAGGCTACGCATCCCCTTTGAATATGTTAAAAAATGTATATTCGCTTAAAGGGGGAAAAAATGTTTATGCTAAAATCTCTGCTGCCGTATTAAAAAAAAAAAAAAAAAACCCCAGCAACTTAAGACTCTCCGTTTCCAAACACTCCCCCAGCTCCCCTCACTTTTAGGGCTTTCTCTTTTCCCCTGTCTGAGCCGTTTTGAGACGTGTGCTGATTTATTCATTAACTGAGGCTAGATTTTAAATAATTTGGGGAATCAGATATTTAAAATTTAAGTATGAAAATGTGCTGATCTGGGAAAACTGCCCTTGTTTCATATGTCAGATTTCTAAAAGGATTTTCTGCCGATTAAGTAGCAGAATGCAACAAATTAAGAAATAATATCGGTTCGTTTTTTTTTTTTAAGTGGAAGCCCCATTAAGAACTTGTTTGAAAAATTAAGAAGAAAATACTGCATAGTTTCTTCATCCATTCTCTGGCTGTGCTTGGAGGGTTCTGTGCTTCCAATTGGGTTCTGTTTAAAAAAATATACCAACCTGATCCTACGATACTTAAAAAGTATTGTCCAGAACTACAGTACTGAAAGGAAAGATTTTGGTTCTGCACCTGGTCATTTTCCCTTCAATTCTGTAATAAACATGCTTATCTCTAGGACACAATGCTATGCTTATTGTATCATATACTGTACTTTTGTAATTAACATAGCATTCATCTCCTACTCATGCCCCTTAGTGTTTAACACCAGTTCAAGCCTAATACCTCAGTCCTTTGAAGAACTGTATCTGAGCCACAGCTGTAAGAGCTGAAGCAATGAGACTCGGATAGAAAGATGTCCCGTCCATCCAAATCCAATAACCTCCTTATTGTCAGGGGTGGTGAGAATCTAACCTGACAAGCACAGGGCACGAGGCAGGACTACCGCTGGACCAGGTTGCACACATCCCTATGCATATGAGTGTCCGGTTAGAGACACGAACTAACCCAGACAAGAGTACCTGCAGAAAACCAACACAGACACAAGAAGAACATGCAGGCTCCACACAGAATAATCTCTAGTCTGGAGCTGAGCCCTGGACCTAAGGAAAGTGAGGCTGCAATACTCACATCCACACCAACCCACACTGTACCTCAATACAGAGAAAACATCTTGTTATACAGAATACCTACACCCACCAGCTCCGGTCTGTAAGAAAGTTTAGATTGGACTCATATTCCCCACCAATAGGCAGATGGGTTTTTATTTGGAAAACAAGGTGACTACATTTTCAGCGTACAAAAGACTTAAAAACGAGTTTATTTACAAGAACAACAACAAAAAATAAATTCTTGGCTAAAAAATAATGGGGCAATGCAATAATTTTGGGGCCTTCCAGCCCTGAAGAGATGACCCCCCATTTCTTCCTGCGAAAAGCACCACTGACAAGAATTTGTAAAGTCCTGTACAAACAGAAGCCTCTGGAGGTCTTCGGAGTTAGTATATGTAATCAATGCATGAAAAGCTTCCTTTATTTGTAGGACCTCCTTGGCATAAAGGATAACAGTAGTGGGAAAATACTAGCTTAAAAAATGGGCTCAGAAGATATCCATTACTTATCAGAGTAACTTATATTACAAACGAAAAAAAACACCCCCTGACCTGCTGCCATTGACTCTTTTGCGTCACGTTTCAGATTTTTTTACAGCGCTGCCGTTCGTTTCGTCAAATGTATTTTGGCATCACATGTCTGAAGGTTTGGCAAGAACTGCTATTTCGCTACACATCTAATGCGCAAGTTTTTCCTTGGCTTTTGTTTTCGATCGTTTGAACTGAACATAAAATGAAAAATTGCGTTTTAAAATACAGTAAAGGCACGCTGGAGGCAGCTGCATTCAAGACTGTAGGTATATTTCCAATGTTTTTTTAATCAAATTAATGTTTAAAGGAAAGATGATGGTTCACAATGAAGAAACCCTTAGATTCCCCTCAAACTACTGTCAACCAGATAAGCAGAACAAACCCCACTGATCACTTCTCTTTTAGTCTTCTTATCACCGATCTCCACTTCTCATGGAATAAAACCATTTAGGGGGTGATTTAATAAACACTTTGGAGGACATAATAGCTTACATGCTGGGATTGTAATAAAAAATTGCTGACATTTTGCTTTCAGAATAATATCCTCATATCTCCGTAGGAATCCTTTTATACCCGATTTGCAACTAACGCTACAATATCAATGGATTTTGGAAAACTGACCTGGCCCTTTTTAATTTCTTAAGAGCCTTTTACTAGTCAAGAGATTAATTAGGAATTATAATGAACTCCAAATCCATTTTCACTCATAATTCACTAGTACATCCTCCAACACAAAATACATCAAACCTGAAAACGGAAGGTACATTATTCTCAGTTAAAGAAGCGTTTTTGGAGTATATTTATGATTTGGTTGCACTTGGGGAAAAAAAAAACAATGTTTCACTGGCTTGCAGAGCAGCTCTTCCAAAAAGGAAAAAAAAAAAAAATCAAACCACACATTTTCCCCAAATTTGCGTGAACCACCCTTTTTAGTCAATGATTTTTCTGTGCCTAGTTTCCTATAATTCTTACAGGCCCTAAACAAGTGATGCAAAAGAGCAACTTCACACAGGACTTTTTCCCAGCCTTTAGAAAAGCACATGCAAAGATCAGATGAGTGTTAGGGGCTGTTTCACTGTCCCCTGTGCAGCTGGGCAGACTGACTTTACTCTAAGGCTTTGAGGCACACGGCTGTTTCTGATGTAAGGCCACAAACCTTGGTGTTGTGGAAAGCAGTTACGAATGGCATGTCCTGTACATTTTCCCCAGGCCCGTGTTCTCAGAAAAGGGTTAATCATATTTAACAATATGCACTCTAACCCCTTTAATTAAAATTAGTCTCACATCTGCTGGCAGGATCTGTCCCTCATTACTGTAGAATCTCATTAGTAAGAATCCCAGGAGGGTGACCAAATTAGTTTTTAACTGAGGTTTTTTTTTTCTTTCTTTTTATGCAAGAAGGTCCTCTTTTGGGAGCTCGCTTAGTGCACTGACTGAATGATCGGGGCAAACTTCCATTCCTGCACTTGTTCCAAAGGCCAGGAGGATAAAGCAATGAAAACGTCACTCTGAAATTCCAGGTCTGATCCTGCATTAGAAAATGCAATTCTCAGATGCCAGAGTCAAATGGGAATGCCCTTTAACTTTGACGATAAGTGACGGAACCACATTCTGAAATACAGGATTCTACGAATACCAGCTGTAAATGTGTTCTTAATAAAGACTTGGATGAGGTTTACAATTTACTGGGAAAACTGCTACCTTCTCAGTCCTTTAATGTAGGAACCTATGGTTCCAGAATTCCGATTTTACCTGGAACATTTCTATACATTTTTAAAGAGATACTTTAATCCTCGTTTTCTTCCCCAAATAATGCAGGATGAGAAAAAAAAAAGGAAAGCAGAAGTCCGTTTTCTAACTAGTCCATCGAGCTGAGAACAAGTTTTTGATTGCCTCAAGCAGTCTCTCCCATTTCATCCCCCCAAAATCCCTGTCCTTCCGCTAGAAGAGAGGGGAATCGCAGAAAGTGCAGGGTCCCTGCAATATCCTCTTTATCCAGTCAGGGTCTGGAAAGGGAGAAGACATTAATTTAGTATAGATACAATTTTAAAAACAATAAAGTCTGCTGCTAACCGCTTCTTATCCAGATAAATATGTGGTAGTTCTCAAACTCTTGGGTTATTATGCCACCCATCAATTATGCCAAGTGCTTATCATAAATACAAACAGGTCACGACTATTTTGTGGATGTAGTCATCCTGAAAACAAAAGGAACAAGTACAGGTTTATTCCCTGCTGAAAAGAGAAGAAAAGAAACAACGTTTCAGCTGTGGATCCTTCCTCAGTTGTCACACATAACGTTGTGTTTTTCCTCTGTTTTTAGCAGGGAATAAACCTTTACTTATTCCTCTGCAGCTACCAACTTGAACTAATTCATCCTGTAAGACGGTTCTACATATTATAGATTAGAGTATGTTGGATGGAAAATTATGACTTTTACTCTTTTAAAGGGGACCTCCAACGCTATTTTTATATTTCGGGTGTAGAGAGAATCAGCACTAATGATAACATTTCGTAAAACATGAAATCTGTAGGTGTGCGCAGCGCCATATTCTGCGATTCACAATGAGGCAACAGAACATCTTGTGACATGTAGTGGCCCTGCAACTTTGTAAACAAGCACACTTGTGAGACATCTTTTTTAATCCAATACAAATGTTGTTCTTGACTTGGAGACAGTTTTGCAGACAAGTACTAACTGTTAACTCTGCTGGCAGATCACATTGGAACATTTCTGCAGTGAAAAGTCCGCTGCACAAAATGGACTTATTCACTTGTCCAGCACATTACATGTGTCATTACGGAGACTAGTGAGCAGGAAGGGCCGCTTCCTGCCACAATGTCGTGGGATCTGAAATGTGGGTTTGTGACAACATGGCGACTTACACGACTTTCACATAGTTCACGGGCTTAATTCAGAGTTTGTCGTTTTTTTCTATACCGTCCATGGTTTTTTTTTTACCAAGATTAAATAACTGGTCTGAGAAATGGGGACTGCAGGTCCCCTTTAAAGAAAGAGAAAAGAAGAGGTATGCTTCCGATTAACCTGAATATTCACACCTGCTGTTCTATGATCACGGGTGGCTCATTTTCTTTTTAAAAAAAGCCTTAACACAAAGTTAACAAAAAGGGTCTCAAGTCACGCCTTAGACGGCAATATGGTCAGTCCCCTACAGCTCTGCTTGCGATGGCTGGCAGTGGAAGCAAGAGAAGGAGGCCTACCGTTGGGTACAGGATGTCTGGCAATGCTGTCTTGTAGCAAACACCTTCTGTAAGTTAGTGTCTGACAGGCCTGGTATGACAGCACGCATCTGAAAGAGAACACGTTTCAAATGCTGAGTGCCAAGCCAGCGTTTGATGTCGTCGCGCTTCTGAAGGCGCCGCCTGAGCAGCGGAGCCGTCTCCCCGCGCCGGGGAGGGCTGCGAGAGGAGAGACTGGCAGAGCTACATCGAGAACATGACGTCCCGGCTGCAGGAGAGGCAGGAACGCAAGCCCGCCGCCCAAAAAGGAGGCGAAAAGAAAATCAAAGGTTCGGAGACGGAGAGAAAGGAAGCAATGCGCTCCTGTGTTAAAAACAAAACGCTCCGCATCAAAACGTTGCGAGTTTCTGTCAGCCTAAGATCTGAATTCAGCCTGGAAGTCTTGCTCAGCTTCCAGGTAAGAACTATGCCGATGCCAAGGAGCAGTCATATGCAGTATCGCTCTTACAGTAAAGCGGATTGTCTCACTTCAAGAACTGAGAACCGTGTATGTAATGGAAAAAAATATCAGACCGATTTAGTCTCCTAAATGTGACCTAAAGCCTCTTCTAAACATCTCGGGTTTTATTTACAAAATCTACCAGTAGCCCTGGTACCTGCTGGGAACCAAAGAACATTAGACACCATCTGTAACCTCTTCAAGTACTTTAAGCGCCATTCTAAATCAGGGCTTTTGAGTGTTGTCCATGAGTGAAGTGCTTGAAATGCTGCGATTTTTCTTATTTAGCTTGGAACAGAGACCCGAACCCGTTTGCCTGCAGCTCCTCGGCAGTAACCACCCGCACACGAACAGCTTTCCGAACGACAGCAGGGCCACGGCAGTCTGTTCCGACAAGTTTAACTAGCCCAGTGATTCCAACTGGTGGCACAGAAAGTATTCACCCTCTGCTAAAATAGCACTTTATTCACTAGAAATCTTTTTTGTGTGAATCAGCATGTTTCCATGCTGCTGTCATTCATAAAGCTTGACAACGTATTAAAAAAATCGGACCTATCGTTACCAACTTGTCCTTTTTTGACCATGTCTTTGGATCCCTCTTTTTAACAGCTGTGTTTTTATATGTAAAAAAAACCCTTGGTCCGATTTCCTGGGCCATGGGCAACAACAAAAAACAGATTTTACTTCCAGCCTTCATATTTGTTTTTCCGTAAATCAGTCATAAAATAATTTAGAGACAGAAAAACACCATGTGAATCCCTGCCCCAGGAATATTTAACCCTCAGACGCAGTCTCGGTCAACTGTATCCCTGGTTGACAACTGTGATATCACAAATTGTGATTTCTCAAGCTTCTTTTGAAACAAGAAAACCTGCGAACAAGAAAGTATTCAAATCTAAAGTTAAGTATATTTTAAACAATTGATTAATTTCTTATAGTCTTGAAGCCAATCATGGTGGAATTAACTCATGTGAGGTTGTCACTTTATCGTGTCCTGAATTGTCAAACAACAAGGATGATGTTTTGAGCATTTGAGGACCGTTTTCTCTGGGTTAACCTTCATAAAACATGAATATGTAATGCTGCTATTCGTGTAAGTTACAAAAACAGGCATTCGACCATGAGACAAACTGTGACAATACTTGAGCTTTCCTGATGGCTCGGTCTTGCACAGAACCATGACAATTTATACTGAGAAAATACAAGCTATATTCTCTACAGCTTGTCTGGAGCTATTTACTTTATCTCTATATAAGATATATATATATATAAGAGATTTAAGCATGTAAATGTAGTTCAACTGGAGAGAAAAGGGAATGGGTCGGTACCTCAGCCACATGTGTCCATTGCAGCAGACTGCCTGCCTGCGGTCTGTGAAGGGCAGCACCTCCTTGCAGAGGCTGCAGTACTCGGGGAACGTCTGTTTGTTCATCTTCTTGAAAATGTGTCCGATCAGCACCTGCGCACGGCAGCAAGGCCAACAGTGAAAACCAAGCACCTCCGAAGTCTAAAGACAAGTCCTCCAGGAGGTGGAAGATGACCCACTGGATGCAGAGGTAAAGAGGCACGTGTTTTTGTAGTCCATGGAAAACTGAATTCATGGTCACACTCTTAAGAGCCATTAAGTCCCAATTTAATAGAATTCTCAATTTAAGAATTAATAAGCAAGAAGAATTATCTGACTGTACAAAGTGCTTCTAAGCTTCATTTTAAAGTATTCACATTCTTGGCCTCCTTGAAATGATTTTTCATTAGCCATTTATATATTACAATATGCTAGCCAGCAGGGGCGTCAGAAACACCACGCATTAAAAATTAACTAACAATCCAAACCGCTAAATAATGGAGATTATACATAATGTAAGTGCACAAACATGTTTTATTTTTCTTTAAACCATCCATGCAGTTTTCCCCGAGAGCTAAAAGGACGATATAATGAATTAAAAATGTCATCCCTTTGAACGCTGTTACCTGGGTGCTCCGTAGCATTTTGTAATACAGTAAGTTTACAATAACGGACAGGACGAATAGACACCTTTGCATTGTTACTCTAATAAAGAGCGCAAGAACCAGAAACTGCACTTCCTGATCTAGGCAGTGGTACCTCCCAGGCTCACTCTTGATACCCGCTATGTGAACTTTAGTCAATGCCTTTAACTGCCTTAAGTTACTGATTTAAGAGTTATTTCACAATTTACTTGTTTGAAATGGCAAACACAAATCAGAATGCTTAGCATTCATTTCGGAGCGCCTCCAGGGATTATTAAATTAAAAATCTGGATTACGCGACAGTTTAGATTTTTATAAACCACAGCTGTCTTGATGGAAGCACAACACTTAGTGTGAAATGCTTTGAGGCCGTGCCACGTAACATGGTAACTCGGTATTATGCAAAAATTTTTTAAACCAATGGAAAGGGACACGTTATTTGTAAGGAGTTTGTCAAACTAAATGAGAAGTCAAGATCTGAGAGCTTTTAAGCGAAACATGGTTTTGATGCCTTTAATAAATGAAGAGTCCCCAGGTCTTAACTGATCTTCCATCTAACAGCCTTATCCAGCCTCAGAATAGGTCCTAATGCTCCGGCAGGAACGTTACTAGCTACACCGGAGGTGGCCATTCAGCCTGTCCACCTGTCCAGCCTGTTTGGTGCTTATGAGCTCATTCATCCCAAGATCTCGCCCCGTGCTTTCTTGAAGGAAGCCAGGCTATTGGCTTCAAGACCACAGCTGTCCAGTTGTTTCACTTCATTTGGACAAACCCCTCATGATGCAGTGTGCAGCAGTCCTTTAAAGAACACTGTCTAACAGAAAGAGAATAAAATAACCTTTCAAGCATCTACAGATTTGTTTTCTAATTTTCAGCCATGAATCGACAGAACACTCTCACACAGAGACCGAATTTTGGAAGAAAGGGAGTCTCTCTTGTGGCATCAAGCCACTCACGGCAGTAGGGCGAGGAAGAATTTTAAAGGGCGCCCCTCCCGTGAAGGGGCACCCCCTTACCCTGGCCGCGCGGTCCTCGTAGGTGGGGTCGCTCATGAGGAAGTCGCAGACGCCCCGGGTGGGGATGCTGGTGTTCTCGGTGATCCAGGTGTGCAGGTACACCTCCCCCAGCACCCTCTTCATGTGCTCGCGGGTCAGGTGCGACTCCACAGCCTCGATCCAGGCGATGATCTCGCTCATCTGCTCCTCCGAGGCCCCGCCCCCCCCGTCCTCCAGGCCCGCCGCCCCCGGCCCCTCCGAGCCGCCGGGCCCCTCGCCGTCCGGCTCCCCCTCGTCGTCCGCGATGAAGACCTTGGAGACCTCGTGCGAGGGCCTCCAGCGGGCCTCGGCCGGGGCCTTCTGCAGGGACTGGTAGAGCACCCGGAACAGGAAGAGCTTGAAGCGCCACAGGTAGGTGGAGCCCGAGGCGTGCACCTTGTCGTCCAGCTCCTCCTGCAGCATGGGCGGGATGCGCTTGTCCCTGAGCACCTTCCAGCGCACGAGGTCCAGCAGGTCCGTCTGCTTGAAGAGGTTCTGGACGCTGGACTCCAGGAGCTCCGCGGCAGCGTCGTCGGGCGTCTTGAGGGTGACGAATTGCACTTGGTAGCTCCGGCTGACCGGGTGCTGGCCGTTGGTCAGTCCTTCGGTGGTCACCAGAGCCAGGTAGGCCCCATTGGGGCTGACGGCGATGCCGTGCGTCCGCCGGCCGGCCACCCCCTCGGGCAGCCGGATCTGCTCCTGCTTGAACATCACGGCCACGTCGGTGAAGATGGGGGTCAGCTTCTTGACGCTGCCGTCGGCCGAGCAGGTGAAGATGGAGCCCCCGTAGCGGCTGGCCGTCATGGAGGTGATGGGCGTGGAGTGCAGGCCCGTGACGTGCGAGTTGTGGACGTTCAGGCCGGCCTTGGAGATCAGCAGGAGGCACCAGAAGAGGTAGGAGCCCCGGGCGGCCACCACCAAGCTGCAGTTGCACTTCTGGTAGGGGTGGTAGAGGGAGATGCACTTGATGTTGTGCACGGGAATCTGGTCCGTCTCCTGCCACAGCACCACCGGCTGCCGCAGGGTGAAGTAGCCCTTCACGGCCTTCAGGTTCACGGGCAGGATCTTGACGGGCCCCACGGAGCTGCCCACGATCAGGCCGCTCATCTTGCGCCCGCCGTGCTCGTACTCCCACCAGGCCAGCACGCTGGGCGCGGACACGCCCGACTGGATGGTGTTGCAGGACACGACGGAGCCCCTGCCCTGGAAGGGCAGCTGGAACTGCCAGACCACCAGGTCGCCGTTCTCCAGCAGCGCCGCCAGCAGCACCGTGCCCACGTCCTTGCACTCGTTGTTGGTCTGGACCTGCTGGGTGGTGCAGACGCTGGACCACTCCATGCGCACGGGGCACTGCATGCGGTGCCGCCTCTGGAATTCGGGGAAGTCCTCCAGCTCCCCCAGGGGGGGCTCGGCTCCCGGGAGCTGGTAGCCCTTCTCCGCCAGCATCTCCCCGTACACCTCGGTCAGGTCCACCAGCGGGGTCCAGTGGAGTCGGTTGAGGTTGCCGTGTATGGTGAGCCGATTGTCCAGTGTCAGGGAGGCCAGCAGACACCGGCCGTTGGTGTCGCAGCCCAGGGGGGACCAGCTGGTGTACTTGAACCCGCGCAGCGGGGGCAGCGATCCCGCAGTGGGGTTCAGCATCCGGTCCAGCATGAAGGGCTGGCTGACCGTGGGGTCCTTCGAACCGGCGAACGTCTCCTTCAGCTTCGACACCACCGGATCAGGGCCGACCTGCGGGAGAGAGCCCCGGTGAGCACGCTTGCCAACTTCCCCACGTCTCACCTTGGGGGGAGTGGGTATCACGAGGCCCCTGGGCTGGAATCCAGACCTGACTGGGGCGCTGTCTGTGTGGAGTCTGTATGCTCTCCCTGCGTTCGAGTGGGTTTCCTCCCACAGTCCACAGACATAGTGGTGGATTAATTGGCTTCTGGGAAAACTGGCCCTGGTGTGAATGTGTGTGCCCTGTTACGGACTGGCATCCCTCCCAGGGGGTGCCCTGCCTTGTGCCCACTGCTTGCCAGGAGAGGCTGCAGCTTCTCTACGACCCTGAACTGGATAAAGCAGTTAGAAAATGGATAGATACTGGGTATACTGGGGGAGGGGTTAGGATAACACCGTCTGAACATGATCAAAAATTCAAGTCTAATGTTTAAAGAACACCTCTAACAAACTGCACCCTCCTATAAGACTTCTGTGGAAATTGATTACAGCAACTAATTCGCCTGGCAGGAGTGGAAATTCTTCACACTGACGCGGTTTGCACGCTTGTGACATTGTAAAATGCAAAAGGGTTTAAAAGTTACTTTTTACTGCAGAGCTGAACTACATGAGCAACCAAGGCCTAAGAATGATGTATACTCCCCCAGCTCAGTACTGTTTCCAAGTCCTACGAATCTAAATAATTGATTGTTTTGAAGCCTGTCAGCTGCGTGGGGACCAAGCTATTTTAAGACAACCACAAATTCCAAATCCTAAGAGACATTAACGACGAAACTCTCATCAGTGTAGTTTAGGAAGGATTTTATATTGTTCCATTGTCATAAAAAAAGATTCTAAAATGCCCCCCCCCCCCTTTAAACGTAAGCAGGAGCAGTTTAAAGTACTACATTCCAGTAAAAAAAAACACAACGAAAAAACTCAGGTTAAAAGGAAAATTAAAAAAAAGACTTTAAAAAGGTCGTTCAGTTGGACTGCCCGTGTGATCAGTTCTGCACACAGGAAATCACTCCGGACATGTCAGATAGTTACCCAACTCTTGGTAACTGCAAGGCCCCCCTCTTAAAACCTGCTAACACAATACCTGGCCGAAAAAGACAGCCCACAGCTAGCTAGTGCCGGCCAAGACGGGACACTGAATGGACTGTGCGCCTAGGCTCCGGGCAGCGGCAATAACGCGCATCCCGGCTCCGGCGGTGAGGAGGGACTCTGTGCAGCACGTCAGCAACTGGCCTCTTACCTTGAGCACGCAGGGAGTTTCGGGCACAGGGATGGAGGTCCTGTGGATGACCAGATCCTGACAGTAGCCGTGGATGTCGCACACGATCTCCATTAAAGAGATGCTGTTAGTGTTGGAGGCCGAGAGTCGATGGTCTTCCGACCACGAAAGCGGCTCCAGGCCGCTCACCGGGCTCTGCAGCTTCACCACAGGCTCTCGCTTGACGATCGGCCCCAGTCCCGCCCAGGGGTCCGAGTCGGGCTCTGCTTCGGCCCCCGGTTCGGTCTCTTCCCCATCCAGAGCGCGATCTGGGCTCGAAGCCGCCATTTTCCATAGGAAAATAAGTCCAGCGTCTCCAGGAAGTGACGGAGCCGAGGGGCGGATCTTCGCTACTTGACGTCTGGAAACAGGAAACGGAGGAAAGCACGAGGACCCCGTAGGAAATTGAGCTCTGTGGTGCCTGTTCGGGGCAGCAGCCTCATAACTTCGTCTGACGTTTATTTTTAATCTGAAATAAAGCGATGCGAAGCGCATAAAGTTGAAGTTTATGGGAATTTGGGAGACAGTTTAATAGCCAGTACTTTAGCTTAGAGCAGCTGCTTTATTGGTTACTGTATAATGTATGAAGTTATGTCAACACACTTCACATCTGTTAAGACTAAATGGAGCATTTTAAATCGGACTAAATTCTAAGGTTTTACCACGTACTGATTTTAAATACAGTACTGCCAAGACTGAGGTCTACGGCGGTCCCTGGAATTAATTGCGACTATAGTAGTTGCACACACGTGTTTGACGCCCGTGGTTTAAGGTACAGTAGGAAGTTTTACTTCTCATTCTGCGGGCATATCATTGACTCAGAAGTGCCGAAACTCGCTGAAGAACATCAAATGCCACTATATTATCGGCATTAACGTTGATGTGCTGCAGAATGCGGTTGTGCATTCGCTTTCCTTGGGTCCGTCGGAATCGTTTGTGACTGATCATGTGGATTTGTTTCAGACACTACAGCCTGTGTGCACCAGCATGGCAGAAGAAGGGTTAATGCTAAATCTCGCCGTGAACCCCCCAGTCTCTGGAACCGGGAGGACCAAAGTCCAGAAACAGTTCAGAGCCTCTGCGAAATGGGTACCGTAGTCTCCCTCATTCCAATACTGCATTGATTGTGTAGACAAGGTAGTTTACCCGGTGTTACAGTTTAGAAACCGATAGGGATGTATTTCCTCTTTCACACTGAAGTATTTTTCAGTGCGGCGTTATGATCACTATAAAAGCGATCTCAAATAACAAGCAGTTTCGGTAAAAATGGAAAAGCCTTTTGTAGGCCACTTGAAATTTTAATTTGGCCCTTTTGCGTTGGAAGATGCAAATTTGGAAAAATAGAAAATGAAAATGGGAAACGTTGACTGCAATAAAAAGGTCTTTAGTGTACTGTTTACGTTTTTACTCCCCAATTAACTGGGATTCATCTCATGCAGGCCCTGATAGTCATAATATTTTAATTATTAAGAGCCTTTCGTGGGTCTGAACTGTCTGCATGCCTCCTGTATGAGAGGAGTGTGACGCTCTCCCTTGCTTCTAGAAGAGTAAAAAAGCCGCCAAGCGGAAGCTGCAGGCGGGCAGTGACGAGGGCGCCCCGGCGAAGCGCGGGCCGGCCCAGGCCAGGACCCCCCCGGGCGCCCCGAAACAACCGCAGCCCCGCAGGGCGCCGCTGAGCCCCGTCAAGGGGCGCGGGGGGGCGGACTCGAAGAGGTCCCCGCAGGACGTCCCGGAGGGCGGGGGCCAGGGAGACCGGCCGCTCGTCAGAACCTCCTCCCTCTTCAGGAACAACCCCGACATCCCCGCCGTCAGCCGGTAAGGCTGCGTGTGTCCGTCTGCCCCCCGTGGACGACTGGTGTCCCGTCCGGGGTGTGTCCTGCCTCGCCCCGGTCGCTTGCAGGGACGGGCTCCAGCTCCCCCATGACCCTGAATGGGACACAACGCTTAGAAAATGGACAGATGGGTATGTGGTAGGGCAGACTGAGAAACCCCACAGTGGAATTGAGCCAGGATAGGGACAGCAATAATACTTTTATGAATGACCATCAGTTTAACATCTCATCATCAATATTCTTGAAGCAGTGGACAAAAGACATTTCAGATATAGGATGTGATCCATGTGATCACAAGATACTGAAGAAAGATGAACTGGCCCAATTCCAGCCTTTCCCACAGTTCCTAACCTTCATGTATTCATGTGGTCTGTAAGATTCTGGGGCTCTTACAGACCCCCTGCATTCTGTTGAAGGTTGTTGTTGATGATGAATTGTCCCTGCCTTTTGCTCCTAGACCAGATGTGGCCCAGCTGAGGGAGAAAGTGTTCACCAGCGACTCCTTTACAGACCTGGAGCTGCACCCTCACCTGGTGAGTTATGCAGTAGTTGTGACACGCCTTCACACCATCCTCAGTGAATGACGTTATCACTGATAGATCGTCAGATTCAGTATTAAGAATATAACAAAGGTTGCAACCCAGGGTTTCAGCCTATGTAGCCCTTGTGAAAGTAGCTCATGAGCTCCTTGATCTTATTCACCCATTTCCTGAAAGAGTAAAGGCTTCAACAACATGGCTGTTCCATACCCCCACAACTCTTTGAGTAAAGACGTGACATTCATTAGCACACAGGTTTACAACTGGTTAAATGAATCCGGCTTTGTGCTAGACATTTGGCACTGTTTTTCCTGTTTTCTCTTAAGAGAGCTCTTGTTTCAGTGTTGCAGTGAGATGCGAGTAAGAACTGCAAAAGCAAATTATTCCACAGAGCTGATTTTTCATGTGCTGCACTTGAGAAATTCTCCCCTGGATTCAAAGTAAATGCTCCATAGGACACATTTTATTCCACAAGGTTTGTCCATAACAACTAATTATATTTCATGTTTTGCAAACATGTTTCTGAAGGTAACCCAACATGGGATCCATTGTGTTTTCAAACACGGATCATGTCGTTTGAAATTGTAGTCCCCTTTGTTTGTCATGGTGAGGCTTGCCAGTTTTGCTCTCGCCAATTACTAATGAATTTGACTAATCAGACTCTCCCGTAGATAACTCGTCTGCACTGCTTCAAAAGTAGCACGTTCAGATCTTAAGGAGATCGCAGACAGATGAGATTGGGGTGGAAGGGTGATGGAGGTCTGGCTAACAGATCTCACAATGGTGAACAGACTGACTGCGGTCTCACAGCCACTTGAAGTGTTCTAGGTGACTCTGTATTCATGTCCCGATTAAAGGTATTCCTGTGTGTGCTCGTGTTTCAGGTCTCCACTCTCAACAATGTGCTGAATGTATCCAGCATGACCAGGTACGTTACCCTTGTTGTCAGGAAGATGCAGTCCGTAGAGTATTATAAGAAACAGAGCCTTTTCTGTACATACTGCACAAAGCCAGGCTCTGGCATGTTTTTTAAAATCCTTAGGGAGCATGGAAAGTAAAAGAAAGAACAGAGAGATTTTGGTCAAGGGGACATCCTCGATATTTGTTGGTAGACTGAGTCACCCTGTGTGCTCCGATTATGCATCGCAAGACGGCAGACTGCACAAAGATTCATGAGAAAGTTTACAAACACGAGAGGCTACTCAGCACTTGCAGATAGCTTGTGAGCTATTGGCTAAGTGATAAGTAACTCTTCTTGATATTATAATCTCATTTTAAATGTGTAAATCTGGAATAGTCTTGCATAACAACACGCATCCTCATTTATCATTTTTAACGTTCTGCACTGCAGCGGTTAGCTCTGGTTTCAGAATGTCCTTTCTAAAGCACTAACAAAGTCACCCAGAGACCGATTTGTCAGCAGAACTGTGAACTGACTAAGATACTCACCCATGCATGGGGAGAGCACAGTTCTGCAGGAAGTTAAATGTGAAGTCAGTTTTATTAGGATGAGTGTAGAACCACAGAATCAATTGTTTTTTTTGCAGTGTCTTGTAGAGGATTGCTCCTAAATGGAAGTGTAGGTTCTATTCCCAGGTCTTCCCGTCAAGCAAGGGTACTCCACTGAGATTGGCAGTACAATGCCCTGCTGTATAACTGTATCCAGCTTTGGGATAGAGTCCTTGGCCAAGTTAATGATAAGTTAGTAATAACCATTTCATATGTGTCCGTAGCGTCCAGAAACAGACCATCCCTCTGCTGCTGACTGGGAGAGATGTGGTGGTGCGATCTCAGACGGGCTCCGGTAGGGAAGGGCCTTCTCTGATTCCAGTTCACTTCGATTACAACAGCGTGACAGTCCTTCTTTCTGACTTTCCCTTTTCTCTGTTTTATTCCCATTGGCTTTACTAATGGGGAGAAAAAAATGCGTTTACCACATGTTTCTGACCTCGCAGATCTGATAAATATATTAATGGGACTTCATTTTTTGCTTCCAATGGCGCAGTGGGTGAAAATGCCAGATTCACATGTATGTCATGTCGGGCGCATCTCCTTTCAGGGCAAATAACTTCGATCTGTGTTTTGCATTGGAGATGCTCCAAGCAGGACGTATTTGAAGCAGTTAGATGGAAACACTCCAGAATACCAACTTGCAGAAATGTTAAGTGCTTGCCATTGAGTTTTAAGTCCCTGTAGTGATCTGATTGAATTTGATTTAAATTACACTTGTTGTATCTTACAAACTACTGTACTCAAATTCCACCGCTTAACCTAGCAAATTTAGTGAGTAACTGAGTTGCATTCAGATGAAGATCCCCAGTGTGTGACTGGTTCTCTGTGCCTATATCGTTTTTTTTAAGGTAAGACGCTAGCTTATGGAATTCCTCTGGTGCAGTCCCTGCAGGCAGTGCACCCTAAAATCAAAGTAAGTAAGCGGATTTTAAGCTATTTTTATCCTCCAGTTTTATGTTTCATCACTCTTAAAAAAAAAAATCCATCTCCTTTTCTCTGCCCTAATATATGCGATGACTAATTGTGGTGGGACTTTCTAGGAGTGTTGCAGAACCTAACAGGATGCAGGGAAGTTAAAACCTACTGCACTGAAAGATTCATCCCTTTTTTTAAAAAAAAAGTGTGTCGCATTACTCTCTGGGCGACCCTTGATTCTGGCTGAATCATTGTGAAACACAGTGAAACAAAATGCACTTGAGCAGATAGGCATTATAAAGCAGAATGTGGTATTTTAAAGTTGGGACAGCTTGAGCTGATAGCTATTCTTGTAAGGTATTTAAAAGCTTTTATTGTTCATTTAATTTCGTACTTATCTGTATGCTTCTTAACTGCAGGGGAAAAAAAAAACACCCATAACAGCAGCTCGCAAGGAGGAGAAGAGTTGTTTTAAACACAGGCGCCACGCAGTTAAACAATTGTCATTACTGTACCAAAGTAGACACTTCCAGCAGATGTAGGAATTTTAGTTTTCTAAAGCCATCATGTAACATGAAAGCAGCCCTGCTGTATGAAATAATCATAGCGTTGGGTTTCTCTGAGTGTACAAAGGCAGCGCAGTGCCTCCGAGCTGCGGTGTAAATCACTCTGCGATGGAGTGTGTGAAAGGTGCCACTTGATTAAATTGACAGACGGTATCAGAGCTGTGCTGGTAACTGGAGAAGTGGGAGCAGCTCACTGGACAGGACGCATGAAAACAATGCTTTTAAAACGTCTAAATTATTAATTCACCCCTGTCATTGTAAGTTTTTATAAATAGTTACAGCGCATCACTAAATAAAACTAAATACCCAGTGGGGTTAGATTACTGTGCTGTTATAATAAAATGCTGACAGATCTGCAGTCTCCACTTGACACAGGTGATTCCCCAAAGAAATACTGTTAAACCAGTGACAGCTGTCTAGTCCAGCGAAGATCAAACCCATCCGCAGAGCGCTGTCTGGCTGCAGTCCTTTCTGCCTGTGTTAATGCAGATGAAGACGGATAGGGAAGCGTGTCGTTGGGGCGATTTCGGCAAAGTTCATTTTCTTTGCGAATGAGTGGAAAAACTTTGGCTGTGCTGACCATTGCTGTGGTGGTGATCCGCAGTTGTCACCTTTCATTTATTAACAGAAATGCAAGTCTTGCAGCTTATTGCATTCTTAATGATACGTGTGGCATAGGAATATTTTAAAAAAAGCGTGTGACATACTCTGTGGTGCTTGACGCAGGCGTCTCTCTCCCTCTTCTCTCTTTCAGCGCAGTGATGGGCCTCTGGCTGTCCTAGTGGTGCCCACCAGAGAGGTGCAGTACCGCCACTTAAACTGTCCTTCTGTCTTTCACACGGCTCCCGTGTCTTCTGTTGGCCGGGATGTTGAAGTGCTGGTAAAAAAAAAAAAACAACATAAAACCCGAAGAGTAAACAGTGTTTTTCTGATCCTTACTCAGGCATTACTTTAGGCTTTCAGGTGTGATTTCAGCACAGGAAGCAGCGTTGGCTGACCTGTGTCCAGGCGGTTGAATGCTCAGTTAGGCACGAGCGCACACATTTTATTTTCACGTACAGCTCGCGGTCTTTCAGAGCTGGATCCGGGCGGAAGACGAGTAGTGCTCCACGTTTTTCCATGTCTTTTTAACCTTACCTTTGACTGATGCTGTTTTTCCTTAAAAACATGACCAGTCCCCTCGTTAATGAAATTCATTGAGAAACAAGGCAAATTGTTTCCACTGCGCCTCTCCGCCGCCAGGTGTAGTTCCTCATTGTCAGTCCAAGCACAAGTGATATTGTCACTGAGGACAGAGCCCCTTCGCATTTCGGTCCTGCAGTTTCGCACTTGAGATATTCATTTTTGAGTGGTATGCATTTGTTTTTGTCAGTTGTTTGATGAAACTGAAGCGTACGGGAAATCGCATCTAGCGAGTTTTAAAAACGGTTATGGTTTAATAATGACAAAAGCCTCTTCTCTCCTCGTGGCTTGATAAATACATTTGGCTGGATTTGGGTCCAGCACAGGCACAGCAGCTACTGCCTGCTTTTTCCAAGGGGGCGAGTCGCTGTAAAATAAACGCTGAAAACTCAGAATGCTGAAGATGTGTGTAATAACTCGGTTTCTGAGTGTCAGCAGTAATACAAGCCAGGTCAGCAGTTCTCAGAGAGGACTTAACTTTTGAAACACTCTCAGCAAACCCATCCTGGTTATCTCTGATTGATCCGTTGTCTGGGTTGCCAATGGAAAAGCCTTTCCTTGCTCATCCCATTCGACTCTCGCTGTCCGACTGCTTTCGCACAGACGTTTACTAACGGCCTCTCCGTTCCCTCCCGGCCTACAGCTGGCGCAGCAGAGCTTCCAGATCATCCAGAAACTCCTGAAGGTGAGGCTGACCAGGAGCACAACTGACCCCCTTTTCCGCCGTTCCCGGTTAACCAAACTTGAACAATGCAAGGAAAAAAAAAACAAGCCGGTTGAAACCGGCCTCCTTTTAACCCCGAAAACCGAAGGAACCGGGGCCTCCAAAAAGCAAGAAAAATTGACATGGGGGGCCACAATGTACAGTTTTGTTCTTTTTAAAAATATAAAGCTTGGCCGCCATTATGTCCTCGCCCCGCGTCCCTGCGGTTAGTTGGGATGGGGAGCAGGCAGGTGGCAGTGTGGGCAGTGTCTGAGCTCTTCTCTCGCCTCTTGTGCTCCGGCGTCCCTGCGGCCACTCAGCCCTTCACCTGGATTGTGCCCGGGGTCCTGATGGGAGGGGAGAAGAGGAAGTCGGAGAAAGCCAGGTGAGACCGCCGGGGCGTGCCTGGGGTTTCTCCCTTGTGATGAAGCAACATGGAAGCTATTTTTGTCCTGGGCTCTTGTGGCTGGGCAGCACAGTGGTGCAGTCGTTAGCATCGCTGCCTTGTAGCACTTGAGCCCTGGGTTCGATTCCTGACCTGGGGTGCTGTCTGTGTGGAGTTTGTATGTTGTCCCCTTGTGTAGGTGGGTTTCCTCCAACAGTCCAGAGACATGCTGGTGGGTTAATTGTCACCTGGGAAACCTGGCCCTGGGGCGAGTGTGTGCGTGTCCGTGTTTGTTTCTGTCTGCCCTGCGGTGGACTGGCGTCCCTTCCGTGGTGTGCCCTGCCTCATGCATGTTCCTTGCCAGGACAGGCTCCGGCTCCCCTCCCCGATCCTGAATTGGATAAATGGGTCAGGACAGGGATGGATGGGTCTTGTGGCTCCCAGCGAACCTTGCCAACCGCTTCTGGCGCTCGTGAGTTGAAGGTGACGCGGCGGTTGTCTGCTCCTCAGGTTGAGAAAAGGGATCAACATCCTGATCTCCACCCCGGGCCGCTTGGTCGACCACATCAAGAACACGGAGAGCATCGCCTTCACCGCCGTCCGCTGGCTCATCCTGGACGAGGCCGACAGGTAGAAGGAGCTGCTTCTTACTCCCCTGTGCTCTCGGTCCCTGGTTAGTTGGCTCTGCAGTGTCCAGCACTTGGTTTTGACACAGCGCACAGGGTATTGCTTGATATATCTCCTATCTGTTCCTCTGCTCCTAAAACAGGTTTTCCAGCTTCTAAAGTTTCAAGTTTCACGATCTGGTGAGATAGGTTTATAGGAATAAAAGTACGCCCCAATAAATTAAAAGTACTTTGAAGCAAATGTGAGCGTAAGAGCTGAGTGTCATGTCCAGCGTGCCCGCGACTCAGTGATTGTCTGACCCTGACAGGACCCTGGACCTGGGCTTCGAGAAAGACCTGACCGTGATCCTGAACGCCCTCAACGCTGCCGGCGCTCAGAGGCAGAACGTGCTGCTGTCCGCCACACTCACTGAAGGCAAGGCGCCGAGGAGGGCTCTGTGTCCCGCCTACTCTTCACCTGTTCGGCTGATGCTTTTATTCAGAGCGGCTTTGTACCCTCTTGTGATGCGGGTGGGGATTTTTGCGGAAGGTGTGCTGCTCGAAGCGCTGTACAGCAGACGCGTCCCGCCTGTGCCCTCCCGGTTCCGAGTCCACAGCTCTGCCCCTCTGTCGGGTCTGGGCCTGTTCTGGTCACGTGACCCCTCGAAGCTTGATGGGCACCGCAAAGCGGTCCTCGGTCTTGCCCTGTGAGCCAAAAGGCCGGACGGTCAGTCTTATCAGCCTCCGGAGGGTCATGTCACCGGAACAGGCTTAGCGAATGAGCCCTGGCAGATTAGTAGCAGTCACGGTCTGGTAGTAAGCACAACAACGATTTGCCATTTTGAGAATGCCATGGGTGCTTAAGATTATACCGCCTGATCATTCATAATGTCAATCTGAATACAGGTAGGCCTTTAGAATCAACCAGAAACAAAGGGTAGCCTTTAATCGCTCTGCATTGGTGAAGATGCAAAAGTGCAGACAAAGGTTACTCGTTTTATTTATCGGAGTATGAAAATACCACGTTGGTAGATTCCAGGTAAAAAAAGGAGCGTGACTCATTGGTGAAGTCTCACCAGTCCGTCTTATGGGACAGGCTGTCTCCAGCGCAGAGCGCAGAGCACACACCTCGAGGGGGCTGGCTCAGCTCCAGGCTGCTCCGCAAGGGATTAGAAGTCATTACGAGCTGTGGAGGGGCCTGTGTGAAATTGGCTTTGTATGCGGTCAGATGCGCAGGTTCAGCTGACAGGTGTTGTATTTACAAGAGCCCATCTCTTTTTGTGTCAAGTCCAACAGCAGTCTCTCTAGGCTTTGGGGTGGCTCAAGTTCAGAGTCCCCTAATTTACCTCTCCCAGTCTCCCCAGTGCTGGAGGTGGTACATTTTTTCAAACACATCAGCGGGGCACACTGTAAGGGAGGTTGGAATGAAAGATCAGAGAGTTTTAACCAGGGGTGCAATGCATCTGCATGCTCTGTCCTGCTGTTGAACACTTCTAGCCTGCACAAAATCTGGCGTCACAGCACTGTGTTGCTTTGAAGAACGCCGAAAACGTTTCTCTCCTGCGAGCGTGTTTCTAATTGGTTTGTTAGAGCTCGTTGCCTCGCTTGTCTGAATCTGCGTTTGTTTGTCCCGGGGAGCCAGGTGTGTCGAGGCTGGCTGGGATTTGCCTCAAGGAGCCGGTCACCGTCCACGCGTCCGAGGGCGCCGCACAGAGCGAGGAAGCCAGGGAGCTGACCTCTGACCCCTCCTCCACCGGCCTGTCGGAGAGCTTCACAGTGCCTGAGAAGCTGCAGCAGCACATGGCCATCGTGCCCAGCAAGCTGCGCCTGGTCTGCCTGGCTGCTTTCATCCTGGGCAAATGCAAGGTAACACGTCCGCGCACGGGCTGGTCATCGACTCGGATCTGGGTTAAACCACACCCAGAATGTTGTCTCAAGCGTTTGGCTCTACACGGCCAAATAGAGTCTTGACAATCGGAAAGTGTCCAGAAATGGAATGGAAACACGTCTGGCTTAAAACTGCGAGCCACTTCAGCTGGCAGTTTTATCCATCGACTATTACAGAACAGCGAGGGACGCTGCACAACAAAACCATGGGACTCAACAGCTTACTTGATTGTGCAGGTACCATTCTGAGCATTAGGAATAACATCCTATAAGATTTCTGGAGGAAGTTGTTCAGGCTCTGCTTTCCTCGGGGAGACAGAGACCCTCTCGTGTGCCTTGTTGTGTGCCTTGTTGCTGCTGGGCCCGTTCCCGAGTCTGAGCTCTCTTGCAGGGTGAAGGGGCCCAGAAGATGATTGTGTTCCTGTCGAGCTGTGAGGCAGTGGAGTTCCTCCAGTCCCTCTTCAGCAAGGTGCTGTGTGGGAGCGCAGGCAGCCAGGGTACCGGAGCAGAGCGCCCCCTAATGGACTTCATGAGATTGCACGGCAACATGGAGCAGGAGGTGGGGAAAACAGTTTCTTGAGTGTAGAGTTTGTGCACGGAAGCATTCTCGGACCTCATTTCTGTAGCTGCAAAGATCATGTTCGCTGGCCTGCCTTCTAACACCCAGCCCCACGCCTCCCTTCCTAAACTTTCGGGCTGCCCATCCATTGCAGTCCAGTTGTCACATCTAAGTGCAAAGCAGGGTGCTGCCCCCCTCCACCTGCTCAGAAAGGGAAGGCGTGGGGTGGCCCCTGAGTGAGAGTGGTAACCTTGTTCGTGACAATAGCTTCCCAGCCACACGGCCTCCCTGAGTGAGGTCAGCCTCCAGAGGCACGTGCTTGTTAGTGTAGTCCCAGGCCGTGCAGCGGTCTGGCCTTTGACAGCTGGTACGGTGGCACTGTCCTATGCTTTTTTCCTGCCAGCTGATTGACAGGGTGTGCCCCCTGGCAGTGCCAGAGGATAGCCATGGCCCAGTGCTGTGCTCACACCTGTATATCCCTGCGTCAGGAGCACTAATGCAGTTGAACTCGAGTCCCCATCTGCCACCTCTGGGAGGCTGGGTGGCGGCTGGCATGCGAACGCCCCCACTTTCTCTTTAGTTATTCGACAAGACACTTGCAGAGCCCCGGCCTGCTCAAGTCTGTGCCCAGGTGGGGTGGGGTCACGGAGCCCTGTTCCGAATCGCTGGTGAAGTCAGGAGGCAGGCACTCTGTGCACATGGCTTAACTCATCTGCTCTCTGGGAAGATGGCGAATGGAAGTAAAGAATACCAGCAGTTTTCACTGCCCCCGTAGTAACGTGTGTGGTCATGGATGTACTAGTAGTAACAGGCACGTAGAATTTACCTGTGCTTTATTTCTTCATAAATTCTTCTTTTTTTTAATTGCTTTTGAAAAAAGGGAAAAGTAAATACAAGTTTATATCTTAGACGTTTTGTGTCTTAAGTCATCCTTTGAAAGAATGGCTTCAGAAAGCTGCTTTGTAGCTGGATTAGGTTATGAACAGAATGAAATGAATCATTTTGGCCTAAAATGTGGCTGCTTTCTCCCACATGAAACCGAACAAAGAGTGAGCTTGTTTTTACCTGCTCCAATTCAATAGTATGTGTTGTTTTTGTTCCATCTAACCTCAAGGCTCGAGGACAAGGACCTGTTTTTATTTGTATACGCTCTTGTATAACTAAACCACAATCGTGGTGCAGACTGTCTTTGTCTTTTCATCCTTTTCAGAAAGGAGGTCCTGTTTTACGAGTCAAGAACAATGTCTTGGAGAAAGTAACATTATTGATGCTAGGCTGTTGAAAGTAAGCACCCTCAGAGTGGGTCTGTTGTGTGAGCGCTGTTTTGGTTTTACTGGTGCTAAAAAGATTCTCTTGTTCTTGGGCCTCCTGACAGTTTTCTGCCTCTAGGAGTCCTCAGACCCCTGGCTGAAACCCCCTACTCTGCAGGCATTCATTGTCTAGTCTAAAGAAGCGAAGCTCTTACTGCTGTGAACATTAAATCATTCGTTAGATTAGTAGCGCGTGTCAGAGTTTGTCCAGTTAGGTTCCTTCATTGCCCATCCTCCTCTCCCTCTCACAGGAAAGAACTGAGGTGTTTCAGAAGTTTTCTCAGTCCAAGACAGGCATCCTTCTTTGCACGGTAAGAAGCTGCTGAAAGAACGTCCTTTTCCTGTAGGTCAGCGAAAACTCAAGTTGCCAGAACCCATCAGAGGAGAGCCCAACTTGCAGACCAGCATGGCTGTGTTGATTCACTGGGGCAGAAGGGTATTGTACTCTGGCACCTGGCCCTCTCCTGGCTGTCCTGATCTCAGGGCCTGCCATTGAGAAGATGGGAAGGGCTGTTCATTCTTAACTGGGAGGCTGTGGGTTCTAATCCTGGCTGGGACGCCGCTGTGGTAACATTAAAAATAAGGAACAATCAGATTGCTATCGAAATGCCCATATATCTGTGTGTGTGCAAATGTAAGTCACTTTGGATGAAAGCATCAACCAAATAAATTAACAATAATATAAATGCCTCGTCCAGGTTGTGCTGTCTTGTGCTACAAGCGCATTTCAAACACACACCTTTTTCCCCCCCAGTCTGTTTGCCAGAGCTTTTGCTGGGAGTCTTTTTTTTTTTTTTTTTTTTTACAATATGACGGCTTTATACCCCACCCGACGCTGCCTGTCCTGGTTTTTGAGGTGTTGACGGTGCAGTGGGACTGTAAATGTTTTAGAAGGAAGGACTAACAGCATTTGCTTTTGAGCAGCGGCGAACATGGATCTCGGAACCTTAAGAGGCAATACCTTGATCCTGTAAAAAAAAAATAAAAATGTAAATATTAAACAAAACAGCTTTTTTGCTCTGTTTTTTAATTTCCCGAGAAACGGCTCCGGCTGGTAAGCAGGTCACTCCCTGGTCCCTGTCTGCCAGCGAGACAGAGCCTCTCTTTTCATTTCGCTGGTGACAGCTGCCGTGAACGCAGCTCAAGGAGCGAGAGAAATGGTCTGTCAGTGGAAGGTCCTTTCCTTCGCGCTGCTAATCTGTCACACGCGGTTTGTTGTTTACCGTTCCGCGCTCGCTGCCTGCCCGCGGGGCCGGGCGCCGCGTAATGGCGACAGATGCTGACCTGCAAAAGTGTGAATCTTGCCGCTTTCCCCCGCTGCCAACCTGTAAATTACAGCTATCGGGAGTAATTAGACCCGATAAAACCCTTCCAAGCCCCCCTCCCGGCTGGGACGCAGAACCAGGCTTAAGAGGCAGAGAGCTGCTCGCGCGCGGGGCGCCGGGCGTTAACCCTTCGTGCCCCGGGGCTGGAGCGCCTGCGTGGGGGCTGAGCCGGTGCTGCAGGGGGCCGTGTGAGCCGGCCTGCGGCCTGTCCGGCCCGCACGAGACACCGGTTTCCAAGAGCCTGCGTCGCGCCCGTTTTTTGCAGTTTTAACTGGCCAAACGAGCACAGGGCGAGAGCAGCTGTCTGCCGACGCCATTCCAAATTGTGAGAGTTGTGACAGACCTTAAGGCAGATGTTTTCCACTGTCTGAAATTTTGGGGCCCTAGGTAACCATCCTCGCTGCAAGCAGCTGTTTCATTAGCTCTGTCCTTTTGTGGCCCCTGCCTGGTTCCCTCGTGTGTCTGTTCCTTTGTACAGATTTTCTGCTCTTACTCTTTGTGTTGGGAGCACTACGGAGGCTGGCGTTAACTCCGGGTTTCTTAGTAGGAATGATTTTCCTACCCAATACATGCCTTCAACGATCTTAAACTGCGCAATTGGAATTCACAGTATCTAACTGGTCAGCGACTATTGTGAAGTTAATAAGACCGTGCTGCATCTTACAGCACTGGTAATTGAAGGTTTATGCGAATGGTTTTATTATTAACATTTTGGGAGGCTGGTGTTGCAGTTCTATATAAATTTGGCTTTAGGAGCTTGTGCAGCCTACAGGAGTGCATGCTCCGTGCCCGAGGTACAGCATCGCTGCGATACGTGGCTCTCGAGGAGCAGGCAGAGCTGCAGGCAGCCCCAGTCCCAGCGTCCTCGGCACCGCTCTCCTGCTCTAAAAGGGCAGCAGGACCCAGGGAGGTCACAGGCAGGTCGCCGACCCTGCCCGTCCTCCCCCTGGCACCGATGTAAAGCTGCTCATTGCCGGGCCAGCCAGTGCCAAGTTAAATCTTTAAAAACAGAGCTTGTGCCTCTTTAAGTATTTCACCCGATGCAAAAGGTCACACAGCCGGCTCTTGTCGTCCGCCCCCTCCCCCCTCCCCTCCGCGCCTGCTTCCTGGCTGCCCGAGCCAATCGCCTTCCGCCCTCGCCTCCTCCGCCACCCGTTCCGCGCTGCAATCTGTCGCCCGGCCACCGGGGGGCGCCACCCTGCCGACCGCCTTCCGCACACTGCGGTAATGACTTTTGGCAGCCCGCGACGAGAGGAGTGGGTAAAGGAGGGAGCAGTGAGGAGCCCCCCTCCCCCTCCTCTCCTCGGTTCAGTCGCTTTGCAAGATTCTTCAGTGAATAAATGAGTCGTTTTAATCCGACTGACAGGCTGGCATTGCCCGGCTCTGCCCTCCATCTGTACTTATGGCCAGCGCAGCGCCAGACCCCAGGCTGCCTAATGTGCCAATCCAAGGCACAGCTTATCCTGGCTGTAGCTTCAGGGACAGAAGGGTTAGGGCTCCACGCTGCAGAGACACACTCATGAGCTATTTATATAAGAAAGAGATTAGCGTTTTCCAACTTTGATGGACGGCGTGAAACTGCTGCGTCTCCGTTTTCCGTACCGATCGGTATGAAAACGCTCTATCGATCCATTTCACTCCCAGCAGCTACGCCATTCATAATTCAAGGGTTCTGAGACGACAATGCCATTGTTCCCCTGAAGATGACTCAAAAGCTGATCGAACCTGGGAGGAATTCATTTAGATCTGCTTTAGGGCCATTATTAAAAAGCTGGCCAAGGAGAAAAGTTTTTTTTTTATTAGATCGACCTGTGTTTACATTTAAATGTATTATTTATTTTGATATTATTTAAAAACAGCCCTTATTAAACCGTACCTTTCATTTTTCTACTTGTAGATCTTAATTGATTTGACATGTTTTTTCATTTTCATGTTCAAGTGCTTCCTCTTTAGTGAAGCCATGGCCGGCTTTGAAGAATGAAGCCTTCTCCTGCTTGTGCGGTGCGGCTTGAGCTCTTGTTTCTGGTCTTTATCTTGTAGGATGTGGCAGCCCGAGGACTGGACCTGCCTCGAGTGACCTGGATAGTTCAGGTGGGGGGGTCTCGATCTCTTTCAGGGCGTTTTTTGTCTGCCCTTTTTTGAGCGACTTTTGTTAACCGTTTCTGTGCCGTTGAGGTAAGATCAGTTCAGCTGGAGTCCTTTCACCGTGCAAGCCCGGAAATGTCAGCAGAGACAGAAGCCTGGGCCTAGTGAGTCATCCGATTACGGTTCCTCTGTCTTCTGCTGCTCCGATCGAGCCCTGTCGGTAGCCCAGCAAGCGACACACAGAGCTAATTGAGATTGCTCCCCGAGCACAAACGGAGCCGTGTGGATCAAGTCTGCGGCTAACTTGCACACCAGATGAGCAGCCTTAACAGACTCGCTTACTCCGTACACATGGCGCACTGCTAATATCACTGGAACACGAGCGGGTCACCCTGTAACTCCGTGTTCAGCGTACGAACCCTGCCTCGCGTGTTTGTGCGTAGTCCTTCCCCCGGCACTTGGGAAGCTCGTGCCTTCCCGAGACTGCAGGGCGTGCCCCCTCGTAACCCCCTCTCCACCGGTGAACCAGTCAGGGCTCTTGTCTTGCAGTACACACCCCCGGCCTCCCCAGCGGAGTACGTCCATCGGGTGGGCCGCACGGCTCGCATCGGTGCCCGCGGGAACAGCCTGCTCTTCCTCACGCCTTCCGAGACCGCCTACCTCGCCGTGCTGGCCAATCACAACATCAGGTGAGCTGCCGCCCCGCCCCGCCCCGCCCCTCCGCCGGGCGGGGCTCCCTGGAGACTCAGGTAGGCGCAGACTAGTTCTGCGTAGACCTGGCTTGTTGAGGGCTGCCCGGCCTGTCCTCGTCGTCCTCGGCACCATTCAACGTTTTAAAATCGAGATCCGAGTTTTTAACTGCGGCTGCGGAGGATAAGGGCTTTTTCGTGCTGTTGCCTGGCACTGTCTGAGGGGCCGAATGTTTTCCTCTGTGGCTGAACGGGGCTTTCGGCAGATTTTTGGGGTTCTCAATCGGGTTTTAAACTGCAGAAGAAATGAGGGTTAATCCCGCGCTCGTGACTCCAGTCCGTTTAGCAGGGCGTCTGCCAGCTCAGCATTGCAGCTCTGCCTTCGCAAACAAACAGTCACCAAGCCAGACTGCTGGTGGCCAGATTCTGTATTAAGCCACAGAAATCCACTATACAAACTTTGTTTTACCACAGTGGCATTTTGCAAACCTCGTTTCCAGATCTTGGTACAATTTCGAAATGATAATTGCTCAGTACTTGATCAAGCCTAAACGCACTCGTGTGTGTGTGTGTGTGTGTGTGTGTGTGCAGACCCCTGGTGGGCGTGTCTGATCACGTGTTCCGATGGCATCATCGATGGGAAAAGTGCCCGATCCTGCAGCCTTT